CACTGTGGTACTCCGCAGATGTGGCCAAAATAGTAAAAAACTAAAAGTTAGCATTTAGTAATTATAAAAAAAAAACAGAGTGAGGAAGACAGAATGCTCTATAAGATTAGACAGAAAGAGGCTAAGCAATTTATAAGAGCTTCCAAATCACACACAGAAGAGAAAATAACACAGTCAGTAAAAAAAGGGGACAAAACATTTTTTAGATACATGAGAAAAGTACAGTAAAACAAGGATTAGTTAGATTAAAAACAAAAGAAGGAAGGTATGTAGATGAGGATAAAGGTCTAGCTGACTGCCTCAATGGATATTATTGTTCAGTATTTACAGAGGAAAATGAAGAAAAGGACAAATAAGTCATTTATTACATGTGAGTTTACAGAGAAGGAGGTTCTATTTTAACTGTCAAAAGTAAAGACAAATAAGACAATGGGACCTGATGGAATAAACTAAAAATTATTAAAAAAAGCTTAGGAGTGTACTAGCAAAACCATTAACAGATTTATTTAACCAATCATTGTTAACAGGAGTAGTCCCAGAAGATTGGAAGTTAGCGAATGTTGTGCCCATTCACAAGAAATGTAGTAGGGAGGTGTTGGGCAACTATAGGCCAGTAAGCCTTACTTCAGTAGTGGGGAAAGTTGTAACGGCACCCCCAGGCATAAAAGGGTTAAACCGCCGTTTAGTAGATCTTCCAGAGACACAGGCACAGTTACTGCAGAACACCAATCCGCTGAACAGGAAACCATATGAATGCCGTATACAGCCGAATAGGAAAAACCATAGGAATAGGTTTACACTCCTAGCAGTCAAACTGGAACAGCATACAATAAATCCCCCCAAGAACGAGACAAAGCTCCGTGTTGAGGGTCAAGCAGTGAACAGACAGAGCTGTGGGTTTATTGTTCTTATGTACACATTCTTACACATTAGTACCACCCACAGGGTTTTGGAACACAACCAATAAACACATACAATACACTCAGACACTCCCACACAAATTCCTCCCCTCTGCCTGCATCATACTGGGAATGATTTGCGTGATTCAATTACCTTACACAATGGGTAATGTAATTATAACAAGCAGAGAAATAAAAATTTTCCACATTATTCATAACTTGAAAAGTATGCATCACATTCACTTACATTTTCAGAATCAGCATACCCCAAATACAAACATATGCCAAATTCATACAAATTGGTCCAATGGTTCAAAAGATAGATCGTAGTTCTTTGTGACCAAAGGAAGCATGGCTTTTCTGCCCAAAACCAGTTCCACAGAGTTTTCTATCCTGGAGATAATTGGGAAGTAATCCAATTATCTCCAAGCATAGAGGCAGAACTCCATTGAACACATGGCAGCAAAAGACAATAAAACACATAAAAACATATGTGAACTGTATGTGTGTGCTCTGAGTGCCATTCAGTAATAATGTGCGCTCAGATCTGAGCTATCTGGGGATATGTTGAATGTACCTGTTTTCTGCAATGGCTGCACAGCTATATGTTTTTATGTATTTTATTGTCTTTTGCTGCCATGTGGCTAATGGAGTTTTGCCTCTGTCCTGGAGATAATTGGATTACTTCCCAATTATCTCCAGGATCAAAGACTTTGTGGAACTGGTTTTGAGCAGAAAAGCCATGCTGCATTTGGTCAAATAGGACTTTTCCTTAACTTTTGAACCACTGGACCAATATGTATGATTTTGACATATGTTTGTATTTGGAGTATGCTGATTCTGTTTTATGTGAATGTGATGCATACTTTTCAAGTTATGAATAATGTGGAAAAACTGTATTTCTCTGTCTGTGATAATTAGATTAACCATTGTGTTCAGTAATCATATCACAGCCAGAGGGGAGGAGTTTGTGTGGGAGTGTCTTTCTGTAATGTACGTGTGTTATTGGCTGTTATGTAAAACCCTGTGGGCAGTACTAAGTTTGTGGACTGGGAATAAAAGCGGCTGTATGTGCCAGTCCAGAGTTCCTGCTTAACCCTCAAAGTGAAGTGTTGTCTCATTATTGGGGGAGGATTTACTGTATGCTGTTAGAGACTGATTGCCAGGAGTGTAAGCCGCTTGGGGGCTTTTCCTGTTCGTCTGCTAACAGCTATTCGTGTGTCTCCAGTTCGGCTGTTTCCAGTGTTCGTGTGTTTGCAGTTCGGGAGTTTCGAGTATTCCCTTGGTTGCAGTTCGGGAGATTGGTGCTTGCAGTAGCTGTCGGTGCAGCTGAAAAAGGGGAATATCGCCTAAACGGTTTTTAACCTCTTTTGGCAAAACGGTCCGTTACAGGAATCAACAGAGTAAAGGAGGAGACTATATTTAAAAGAAGAAAAACGACCACAACAAGAGGAAATAGTCTTAAATTAGAGGGACAAAGGTTTAAAAATAATATCAGGAAGTATTACGTTACTGAGAGGGTAGTGGATGCATGGAATAGCCTTCCAGCTGAAGTGGTAGAGGTTAATACAGTAAAGGAGTTTAAGCATGCGTGGGATAGGCATAAGGCTATCTTAAATATAAGAGACTAAATGGGCCGAATGGTTATCTGCCGTCACATTCTATGTTTCTATGTGCCTCCATTAAAACCAGTTATTTCCCAAGAGCTGTGTGTCGTCCAGTTACTGGGGAGGTGTTGGGGAGAATCTTGGCTTACTTTGCAGTGCTTGGCTGTTCCCTTGGAGTTATCTACTTGTTCCTGAGTACATCTTGGAGTAAACAGCGGAGGAGAGTCCCTGCTAGGACTAAGGCTCTGCTACACTGGGCTTGGGTCCAGGGTGGGTGGAGGACAGCAAGACCCCAGCCAAAATACGGCGGCTAAGGGGCTACAGTGCTTATGGTGTCCGGTGCAGTGTTTATAGAACTCAAGGCGACTAGGAAGCAGCGATTGGTGGAGGCCAGGCGTTCCGTCACACCCACGAATATAGTCGAAATGCCAACGTGAGGGGGTCCCCATTCTCTGTATGATGCAGTAAGGTAGTCCCCCATTGCCAGAATCATGCAGTGAGGTGGTCCCCCATTCCCTGTATGATGCAGTAAGGTGATCCCCCATTCCCAGTATCATGCAGTGAAGTGGTCCCCCCATTCCCAATACGATGCAGTGAGGTGGTCCCCATTCCCTGTATGATGCAGTGAGGTGGTCCCCCATTCCCAGTATGATACAGTGAGGTGGTCCCTATTCCCTGTATGATGCAGTGAGGTGGTCCCCATTCCCAGTATGATGTAATGAGGTGGCCCCCCATTCCTTGTATTATGCAGTGAGGTGGTCCCCATTCCCTGTATGATACAGTGAGGTGGTCCCCATTCCCAGTATGATGCAGTGAGGTGGTCCCCCCATTCCCAGTATGATGCAGGCAGAGGGGAGGATTTTGTGTGGGAGTGTCTGAGTGTATTGTACATGTTTATTGGTTGTTTTCCAAAACCCTGTGGGTGGTACTAATGTGTAAGAATGTGTATACGACTGCATCTACACTGGGGGATTGCTGTACTCTGTATACTCCCCTAGCTAAATTCACTAAACTCTTTTAAGAGCTTGTTCCAGCTTCACTCTCTGCAGGAAGAGAGGTTCGGTCTGCAGTGCTTATGGTGTCTGGAGTAGCGCTTGGAGCCCTCGGGAAGCACTAGGAGCATCCATCAACGGAGGTACTCGGTCAGCTCCGTTACATCCCCCATTCCCAGTATAATTCAGTGAGGTGGTCCCCCATTCCTAATACGATGCATCAAGGTTTTCCCCCATTCCTTGTATTATGCAGTGAGGTGGTCCCCATTCCCTGTATGATGCAGTGAGGTGGCCCCCCATTCCCAGTATGATGCAGTGAGGTGGTCCCCCATTCCCAGTATGATGCAGTGAGATGGTCCCCCATTCCCTGTATGATGCAGTGAGGTGGTCCCCATTCCCAGTATGTTGCAGTGAGGTGGTCCCCATTCCCAGTATGATGCAGTGAGGTGGTCCCCATTGCCAGTATGATGCAGTGAGGTGGTCCCCCCATGATGCCCCCCCATTCCCAGTATGATGCAGTGAGGTGGTCCCCCATTCCCAGTATGATGCAGTGAGGTGGTCCCCCCATGGTCCCCCATTCCCTGTATGATGCAGTGAGGTGGTCCCCATTCCCAGTATGATGCAGTGAGGTGGTCCCCCATTCCCAGTATGATGCAGTGAGGTGGTCCCCATTCCCAGTATGATGCAGTGAGGTGGTCCCCCCATTCCCAGTATGATGCAGTGAGGTGGTCCCCATTCCCAATACGATGCAGTGAGGTGGTCCCCCTTTCCCAGTATGATGCAGTGAGGTGGTCCCCCATTCCCAGTATGATGCAGTGAGGTGGTCCCCCCATTCCCAGTATGATGCAGTGAGGTGGTCCCCCCATTCCCAGTATGATGCAGTGAGGTGGTCCCCCCAATCCCAGTATGATGCAGTGAGGTGGTCCCCCATTCCCTGTATGATGCAGTGAGGTGGTCCCCCCATTCCCTGTATGATGCATTGAGGTGGTCCCCCCAATCCCTGTATGATGCAGTGAGGTGGTCCCCCCATTCCCAGTATGATGCAGTGAGGTGGTCCCCCATTCCCAGTATGATGCATTGAGGTGGTCCCCCATTCCCTGTATGATGCAGTGAGGTGGTCCCCCCATTCCCAGTATGATGCAGTGAGGTGCCCCCCCCATTCCTAGTATGATGCAGTGAGGTGGTCCCCCCATTCCCAGTATGATGCAGTGAGGTGGTCCCCCCATTCCTAGTATGATGCAGTGAGGTGGTCCCCCCATTCCCTGTATGATGCAGTGAGGTGGTCCCCCCATTCCCAGTATAATGCAGTAAGAGCCAGTGTTGTAGTGAGGAGGTTAATGTCCCTGTAGCCCCTCTTTGACCCCCTCCTTTGCTGCAGATCCTCCTCCTGCAGAGCGATTAACACGATGAGAAGGGAGTGAGTGAGGCTGGAGGGAGGGGGTGAGTGAGGCTGGAGGGTGGGGGTGAGTGAAGGCGGAGATAGTGCTGCTGCTCCCGGTGCTGGGATGAGGAGAGCTGCCCTGCTGTATCCCTGCCCTGAGCTGCACCCACAGGGTGAAAGAAGCACTGCACCAGGGGAGCTGCATGGCCACAAGGTGGGCAATCCCAGCCACTCACTGACTGAGTGTGAGAGAGACATGGCTTGTGTGACTGAGTGTGAGAGAGACATGGCTTGTGTGACTGACTGAGTGTGAGGGAGACATGGCTTGTGTGACTGAGTGTGAGAGAGACATGGCTTGTGTGACTGACTGAGTGTGAGAGAGACATGGCTTGTGTGACTGACTGAGTGTGAGTGAGACATGGCTTGTGTGACTGAGTGAGTGAGACATGGCTTGTGTGACTGACTGAGTGTGAGAGAGACATGGCTTGTGTGACTGACTGAGTGTGAGAGAGACATGGCTTGTGTGACTGAGTGTGAGAGAGACATGGCTTGTGTGACTGTGTGAGTGAGACATGGCTTGTGTGACTGACTGAGTGTGAGGGAGACATGGCTTGTGTGACTGAGTGTGAGGGAGACATGGCTTGTGTGACTGAGTGTGAGAGAGACATGGCTTGTGTGACTGACTGAGTGTGGACATGGCTGTGTGACTGATGGAGTATTATGGCTTAGATCGGAGGAGTGAGATATGGCTTGTGGACTGAGTGTGGAGAGAGCATATGGCTGTGTGACTGGGAGTGAGATATGCGGCTTAAAGTGGACTGAGTGTGAGAGAGACATGGCTTAGTGACTGTGTGAGAGATGGCGGCTGTGTGACTGACTGAGTGAGAGACATGCGGCTGTGACTGACTGAGTGAGTGGAGATATGGCTTGCGAGGAGAGATGATGGCTGAAAGTACTGAGTGAGGGAGATATTTATGTGAATTGGAGTGGAGGAGACATGGCTTCAGTGCATCGAGTGTGAGGAGAGACATGGCTGTTACTGAGTGAGAGACATGCTTGTGTGACTGAGTGTGAGGAGAGACATGGTTGGTGTGGAGAGACATGGCTTGTGTTACTGAGTGTGAGGGAGACATGGCTTGTGTGACTGTGTGTGAGAGAGACATGGCTTGTGTTACTGAGTGTGAGGGAGACATGGCTTGTGTGACTGAGTGTGAGGGAGACATGGCTTGTGCGACTGAGTGTGAGAGAGACATGGCTTGTGCGACTGAGTGTGAGAGAGACATGGCTTGTGTGACTGAGTGTGAGAGAGACATGGCTTGTGTGAGGGAGACATGGCTTGTGTGACTGAGTGTGAGGGAGACATGGCTTGTGTGACTGAGTGTGAGGGAGACATGGCTTGTGTGACTGAGTGTGAGGGAGACATGGCTTGTGTGACTGTGTGTGAGTGAGACATGGCTTGTGTGACTGACTGAGTGTGAGTGAGACATGGCTTGTGTGACTGAGTGTGAGAGAGACATGGCTTGTGTGACTGTGTGTGAGTGAGACATATGTGTTATATGTGTAGGTGTGTGTAGTTACATATGGTGTTTATAGTTATATGTAGGCGTGTATAGTTATATGTAGTTGTGTATAGTTATATGTAGGCGTGTGTAGTTATATGTAGGTGTGTATAGTTATATGTAGGCGTGTATAGTTATATGTAGGCGTGTGTAGTTATATGTAGGTGTGTATAGTTATATATAGGTGTGTATAGTTATATATGGTGTGTATAGTTATATGTAGGCGTGTGTAGTTATATGTAGGTGTGTATAGTTATATATAGGTGTGTGTAGTTATATGTAGGTGTGTATAGTTATATATAGGTGTGTATAGTTATATGTAGGCGTGTGTAGTTATATGTAGGTGTGTGTAGTTATATGTAGGCGTGTATAGTTATATGTAGGCATGTGTATAGTTATATGTAGGCGTGTGTAGTTATATGTAGGCGTGTGTAGTTATATGTAGGCGTGTATAGTTATATGTAGGCGTGTGTAGTTATATGTAGGCGTGTGTAGTTATATGTAGGTGTGTATAGTTATATGTAGGTGTGTATAGTTATATGTAGGTGTGTGCAGTTATATGTAGGTGTGTGTAGTTATATGTAGGCGTGTATAGTTATATGTAGGCGTGTATAGTTATATGTAGGCGTGTGTAGTTATATGTAGGCGTGTGTAGTTATATGTAGGCGTGTATAGTTATATGTAGGCGTGTGTAGTTATATGTAGGCGTGTGTAGTTATATGTAGGTGTGTATAGTTATATGTAGGTGTGTATAGTTATATGTAGGTGTGTGCAGTTATATGTAGGTGTGTGTAGTTATATGTAGGCGTGTATAGTTATATGTAGGCGTGTATAGTTATATGTAGGCGTGTGTAGTTATATGTAGGCGTGTGTAGTTATATGTAGGCGTGTATAGTTATATATGGTGTGTATAGTTATGTGTGTATGTGTGTGTGTAGCTATATATAGGTGTGTGTATAGTTATATATTTAGGTATTTATTTCTATATAGATTTATATATAGGTTCTCTCTCTCTCTCTCTCTCTCTCTCTCTAGATGTTTTAGTAAGGGACTCTCTCCCTCTCTCTCTCTCTCTCTATATATATATATATATATGTAGGTGTTTATATAACTGTAACAGATCACCTGGCACCCCGACTGGGTACCTCCATTGAAGGATGCTCCTAGCGCTTCCTGAGGGCTCCAAGCACTCCAGCCGACACCATAACCACTGTAGACTCCTTCAGAGAGCAAGACAGGAACAAGCTCTTATAGGGGCTCAGTGATTATAGCAAGGGAATATGCAGAGCATAGCAATCCCTTGTAGCAGATTCCCCCAATAAGAGACGGCACTCCAAATTGAGGGTGAAGTAGAACTGACTGTACTGGCACATACAGCCTCTTTTATTCACAATCCACAAACATAGTACTGCCCACAGGGTTTTGAAATACAACCAATCAATCCGTACAATACACACAGACACTCCTACACAAAATCCTCCCCTCTGCCTGTGATATGATTACTGAACACAATGGTTAATATAATTATCACAGGCAGAGAAATACAGTTTTTACAAAATATTAATAACTTCCAAAATATACATGACACAAACATAAATAATTACATATTCGAACTCAGCACACTTTAATTATAAACATATCCAAAATTCAGCCAATTCCATCCAGGTTAAAAAGTTAGCTGGAGGTCCCTTTTTGACCGACCGCAAGCACATTTTCATGCCCAAAACAGTTCCATAGATTTGGGCTGTGCGGTCGGTCTATTTCAGGCTGAAAAAACCAATGGGACTTAGTCTCTGCGGCTGCAAAATCATTGTGGGAGAAGGTAAGGCTCAGTGGTGTTCGCTGAACTCAGTCACACAACTAGCCAATTTCAGTTCCATGAATTTGGCTACACACACCGCTGACCGCATTGAATAAAAAAAGATGGCCGCCGCTACGTGTTCGTTTGTCGAATGGCGGTCCCCCAGCGTTCGGCAATTTACCTACAGCAGGCTCCCAGCCTGGAAGGTAAATTGCCTGCACACTTCCAGCTCTGTGCAGTGAATGGCTCAGTAAGCCCCAATTGCCGAACCATAAGGGAAAAAGCCATTTAAAAGTTATTTCCAAAGTCTGGGGACATTGGGGACACCATCTTAAAGGGGCAGTGTCCCAAACAAGTCTGGGGACACAGATTTAAAAGGGGCATTGTCCCAAATTTTCGCCATGCCCTAAAATGGTTCTTAAAGGGCTAGCAGCACCATACAAATCCAATATGCCCAAATCATGTCTTTAAAGGGCAATACATCCCAGGGGCCATAGTCACATGGCAGGAGGCTGGCAATCCGTCTTCTCCAATGCCCAGTGGCGAGGTCGGTTTCGCCACAATAACTAATAAGGGACGCTTTCTCTCTCTCTCTATATATATATATATATAGGTGTTTAATAAGGGACTCTCTCTCTCTCTATATATATATATATATATATATATGTATATGTAGGTGTTTATATAACTAATAAGGGACTCTCTCTCTCTCTATATATATATAGGTGTTTATATACAGTTGCAAGAAAAAGTATGTGAACCCTTTGGAATGATATGGATTTCTGCACAAATTGGTCATAAAATGTGATCTGATCATCATCTAAATCACAACAATAGACAATCACCGTCTGCTTAAACTAATAACACACAAAGAATGAAATGTTGCCATGTTTTTATTGAACACACCATGTAAACGTTCACAGTGCAGGTGGAAAAAGTATGTGCACCCCTAGACTAATGACATCTCCAAGAGCTAATTGGAGTGAGATGTCAGCCAACTGGAGTCCAATCAATGAGATGAGATTGAAGGTGTTGGTTACAGCTGCCCTGCCCTATAAAAAAACCACACACCAGTTCTGGGTTTGCTTTTCACAAGAAGCATTGCCTGATGTGAATGATGCCTCGCACAAAAAGAGCTCTCAGAAGACCTACGATTAAGAATTGATGACTTGCATAAAGCTGGAAAGGGTTATAAAAGTATCTCCAAAAGCCTTGCTGTTCATCAGTCCACGGTAGGACAAATTGTCTATAAATGGAGAAAGTTCAGCACTGCTGCTACTCTCTCTAGGAGTGGCCGTCCTGTAAAGATGACTGCAAGAGCACAGCGCAGACTGCTCAATGAGGTGAAGAAGAATCCTAGAGAGTCAGCTAAAGACTTAAAAAAGTCACTGGCAAATGCTACCATCCCTGTAAGCGAATCTACAATACGTAAAACACTAAACAAGAATGGATTTCATGGGAGGATACCACAGAGGAAGCCACTGCTGTCCAAACAAAACATTGCTGCACTTTTACAGTTTGCACAAGAGCACCTGGTTGTTCCACAGCAGTACTGTTAAAATATTCTGTGGACAGATGAAACCAAAGTTGAGTTGTTTGGAAGAAACACACAACACTATGTGTGGTGAAAAAAAGGCACAGCACACCAACATCAAAATCTCATCCCAGCTGTGAAGTATGGTGGTGGGGGCATCATGGTTTGGGGCTGCTTTGCTGCATCAGGGCCTGGACAGATTGCTATCATCAAAGGAAGAATGAATTCCCAAGTTTATCAAGACATTTTGCAGGAGAACTTAAGGCCATCTGTCTACCAGCTGAAGCTCAACAGAAGATGGGTGTTGCAACAGGACAATGACCCAAAGCATAGAAGTAAATCAACAACAGAATGGCTTAAACAGAAGAAAATACGCCTTCTGAAGTGGCCCAGTCAGAGTCCTGACCTCAACCCGATTGAGATGCTGTGGCATGACCTCAAGAAAGCGATTCACACCAGACATCCCAAGAATATTGCTGAACTGAAACAGTTCTGTAAAGAGGAATGGTCAAGAATTACTCCTGACCGTTGTGCACGTCTGATCTGCAACTACAGGAAACGTTTGGTTGAAGTTATTGCTGCCAAAGGAGGTTCAACCAGTTATTAAATCCAAGGGTTCACATACTTTTTCCACCTGCACTGTGAATGTTTACATGGTGTGTTCAATAAAAACATGGCAACATTTCATTCTTTGTGTGTTATTAGTTTAAGCAGACTGTGATTGTGTATTGTTGTGATTTAGATGATGATCAGATCACATTTTATGATCAGTTTGTGCAAAAATCCATATCATTCCAAAGGGTTCACATACTTTTTCTTGCAACTGTAACTAATAAGGGACTATCTCTCTCTCTCTATATATATATATATATATGTGTGTGTGTTTATATAACTAATAAGGGACTCTCTCTCTCTCTATATATATATATAGGTGTTTATATAACAAGGCTCTCTCTCTATAGGTGTTTATATAACTAATAAGGAACCCTCTCTCTCTATAGGTGTTTATATAACTAATAAGATACACACTCTCTCTCTATATATATATATGTGTGTGTGTTTATATAAATAATAAGAGATTCTCTCTCTCTCTCTCTCGCTATATATATATAGGTGTTTACATAACTAATAAGGGACTCTCTCTCTCTCTCTCTCTCTATATATATATATATGTGTTTACATAACTAATAAGGGACTCTCTCTCTCTCTCTCTATATATATATAGGTGTTTACATAACTAATAAGGGACTCTCTCTCTCTCTCTATATATATATAGGTGTTTACATAACTAATAAGGGACTCTCTCTCTCTCTCTCTCTCTCTATATATATATATAGGTGTTTACATAACTAATAAGGGACTCTCTCTCTCTCTCTATATATATATATATATATAGGTGTTTATATAACAAGGCTCTCTCTCTCTATAGGTGTTTATATAACTAATAAGGTACACACTCTTTCTCTCTCTCTCTCTCTCTATATATATATAGGTGTGTGTGTTTATATAAATAAAAAGGCTCTCTCTCTCTCTCTCTCTCTCTCTCTCTCTCTCTCTCTCTCTCTCTCTCTCTCTCTCTCTCTATATATATATATATATATATATAAGGCAGGGCCTGAAGTTGTGGGAGGGGCTTGGTTCCCCTTCTTAAGGAGCTCCAGCCCTTCACCTGCTACCGGCTCAGGTCTTGAGATTTGCATAACCGCACTTCCGGTCCGTGCAAATCTCCTCTGTCACAGGCTGAACCCCGAGGATACACTTACCTGGTCCTGTTGCTCCGTTTCAGCTTACAAGATATTCCCTGTCTCCCCGGCGTCCCCGCATTTCGGCTTATCCGCATAAGCGACCGGCGGCTGGTGCCGTTTTCAGCAAACCGTAAGTCACGGCTGCCGTCGGGTGGCGGTCGCGGTCGATCCGCGTCATCTTGGGATACCACTATCCAAATACGGAGCTTATGTTACGTCACGTTTTTTGAATATTTGTCGGGAATTATTGCACGTACGCTGGGCAATTCGTTTTCGATTCTTGATATCGTTTAATTCATTTGCTATTTATAAGTACTTGTAAGCTGGCTATAAATTGTGCTTATGTGATACAATACACTCATTATTCATTCGTTTAACTGCATTAGTAATATCATTGGGCACTTTAGCTGGGTTACGTCGACCCCTTGTGGTCATTCTATATTATGACATATTGTGCAAAATTACACAGGTTGTGTTACACATATAATATCAAGTTTTAAAGCAGCTATAATGACTGGCCTTTACACCTGCATTCAGGCTATATTACTTGTGGGTCTGGCATGAGGCATTCCGTATACTACAAACAATCAAGATGAGGCTTTTTTTTTGTTTGTTTTTTTGTTATGTGACACATAAAATTCTTAAAACACGTACAGTTTTACATGTCATTTCTTCATGTTTCAACTAGCCACTTGAGGTTGCATAGCCAGTATTCTTACGTGTTACTTCTACATTTATAGGCTAGGCCATCAACGCAGCCTTGTGGGGATTGGGGTATCATCCACATGCTTACTCGGGTCTTAGAATGCAAGAATTTGCAAACAGCCATGGCAGATCCGGACGCTATTGACCAACTGATACAGGAAGAGATTGACCAAGGATTTGTCATTGGACCTTTTGACTCTCCACCATTTGCGGTATGGAGAACTAACCTCATAGGTCTGGTCACTGGTAAATCCTCAAACAAAAAAAGGTTGATTCTGGACCTCGCTGCTCCCCATGCATCAGCTACACCAAGTCTTAACTCACTTATTCCGTCTGAAGAGTTTTCGCTGCAATACGCTACTATAGATAATGCCATCACGGCCATCCTCTCAGCAGGAATAGGCGCTTGGCTTAGTAAGACGGACATAGTGAATGCTTTTAAACTACTCCCTATTCATCCATCCCTGTGGCATTTACATGGTGTTAAATGGCAAGGGTTATATTATTTTTTCACGCGTCTCACATTCGGTTCAAAGAGCAGCCCACGTATTTTTGATATGTTTGCTGAGACGTTGTGTTGGATATTGCTTAACACCTGTAGATGCCCCACCATTATTCATTATCTGGATGATTTTCTTTCCATAGAAAGCAACCTCTTACCTCCCAGTAGCCTCCAGGCCACGACACAACTTTTTACACAACTTGGAGTCCCGATTTCACCAACTAAGACGGAAGGTCCCGATACGGTCATCAATTTCCTGGGGGTTGTGCTGGATTCAGTACACATGCAGGCTAGCCTCCCCAGGGAAAAGATTGAACGTATACTGACCACCATTGACTTTTACTTAACCGAACAGTCCTGCAGCAAAAAGGAATTGCAATCCCTGTTAGGTTCTCTTAATTTTGCCATGAAAATTATTCCTCAAGGACGGGCTTTTATATCCCGACTACTCAGTCTATTCCCTAGGTTTCAGACCGACTCCTCTCGTATAATGTTAGATGGGCATGCCACCGCTGACTTACGCATGTGGAGGGAGTTTTTACGACACTGCAACGGGAAGAGCTTATTCATACCAGTGTTATCAGATGAGTCTGTTTCTATTTGGACAGATGCTGCAGCCACTTCCGGTTTTGCCGCAATTTTTGGCAATCAGTGGATGTGGGGCAACTGGCCAAAGGAAATTGCAGAGATACCAGAGTTCAAGGACACATCTGCGTTATTTGAACTTTATCCCATTGTTGCAGCAGCGGTAAAATGGGGAGCTATCTGGTCAGGGAAGTCGGTGCGGTGCTTCTCGGACAACATGGCAACATGCCATATTGTTAACAAGGGACGTTCCGCTTCCCTGGCCATCATGCGGTTTGTTAGAAATCTCACATGGCAAGCAGCGAAATACAGTTTTTTCCTGAATTGTGTACATGTTCCTGGGATTCTCAATGTTGCCGCTGACCATTTATCCCGATCTCGTTTTCAGGAGTTCCGGGCGGCCCTACCCACAGCGGCCTTAATACCCACTCCCGTACCACAGTGGCAGGAGATGATATTGGACTAAACCGATTACTCGCTCACGGATATCATCTCTCACAATTAGGGCTTTCTGTAAACACTAAAAAGGTTTATGACAGGGCTTTTCTGTTGTTTAATAAATTTGTGATGGAACACAAAATTGCTGACAAATTTGCCATGAGCACTTGCGTTTATTTCTTTTTGCCATCTTCACTTAAAACCATCATTTAACACTGTTAAATTATACATCATGGGTATTCAACACCACATCCTCACCACTTGGCCTGATAAACAACGATTCCTCTCCTATTATCAAGTAAAATCTGTATTGAAGGGTATCAAAGACTCCACCCCAGCACCTACACCTTCCAGATTACCTATACATGACGTTCTATTTCAGTCACTGTCAAATCTTTTAGACACTTCACCGTTTGAGACTCGCACAAATCAGGTCATAAAAACCGCCATATACTTGGCATTCTATGGGTTCCTTCAGCCCAAAGAATTTACCACTACTAATTATAACACCCCAAACTTCCTCACAACAGCTAACCTAGTTAAAACACATGACCACTATTCACTGTTCCTACACCATACGAAAACTAGTCACTATACCCTACTACCCTACTGACAATAAATGGTGTCCAGTGGTAGTCTTCGACCAGTACCTCTCATCCATCCCAATGACTCCACATCAACCTCTACTGGCATTGTATGGTAAAACACTGACCATCAGTAAGTTCATGCTTTACATAAGAACATTGTTAGTACGCTTGGGGCTAAACCCGGCCAAATATTCTGGTCATTCATTCCGAATTGGAGCCGCTACTACCGCTTCAAAAAAGAATATCCCAGCACACATCATTAAGATTATGGGCCGCTGGAAGTCCACAGCTTATACACGATACATTCCCCAGCCAGTTCAGGAAGTACGACTAGCATTCAAGAATATGGTGTGATAATCGTATACTGTATTGTAGGCTGAATAAACTGTTACATCTTTTTGCCCTCTTTTATTTCAGGCCTACTACGTCGTCAGTTACGGCACACCCCAACTGACTTTTCATGTCCTGTTTTGTTTAAAGTTACTAACTCTACGGCTTTATGCCTTGACCACAAATGGAAGGCAGGGCCTGAAGTTGTGGGAGGGGCTTGGTTCCCCTTCTTAAGGAGCTCCAGCCCTTCACCTGCTACCGGCTCAGGTCTTGAGATTTGTCCCACCCACCTCTCCTCCTTTAAATCATTTAAATCAATTCTTGAGGTAGGCCCTCTTTTATTTCAGGCCTACTACGTCGTCAGTTACGGCACACCCCAACTGACTTTTCATGTCCTGTTTGGTTTAAAGTTACTAACTCCACGGCTTTATACCTTGACCACAAATATATATATATATATATATATATATATATATATATATTTTTTATAACGAATAAGGGACTCTCTCTCTTTCTCTATAGGTGTTTAACTAATAAGGGACCCTCTCTCTCTCTATATATATATATAGGTGTTTATATAACTAATAAGGGACTCTCTCTCTCTCTCTCTCTCTCTCTCTATATATATATATATATATATATATTGTAGCGGATGGCATTGGGCTGTCCTCAGAATTATGTATATTCGTATGTTTTCGGTTTAATTTTGCCATGTGTATGTCAAGGGTATGCAGCTTTCACTGATTGTTCGGTAAAATCACTCCAGTTATTATGCGAGTGAAACTACCGAACAATCAGACCACCCCAGGAATAAATGTGCCTCCAATTACCGTTCACAACAAAGTTGCAAACGGGTAATTGGCAATTCGTGCAGTGTGTACTTTGTCCTCTGGTTGGCCTCCATTCGGGAGACGAACACGTGGCGGCGGCCATCTTAAACTCCCGAACAGCGGTGTTTTGCCGTTGAGTGCCTGGAACCCAAATCGGACACTCAGTTAGGCAAACACCGCTGAGACCTCCACACTGCTGCCAATTCGTGTAAAAACTACCGAACGGCTTCCTGTTCGGTAGAAGAACCCCACGAACAATGGGATTTACCCGAATCCTCCCCAGCTCTCATAACCCAAGCCATTCATGGGTTTCATTCCCTTTTCTGTGACCACTGGGCCAAAATGTATGGAACCTTTTTCGGCTGTTAACCCCAGCGCGGTCGGTCTTTTTAGTACCTCCAGGAATTTCCCGAACCTATGGTCCGATCCTTGTGATTTTTGGATATGTGTCTCACCCAGATCAGGGCTACCAGGGGATGTAATATTTAAAGGGGTACTCCTAGGTTTAGGGGTACATCCAGAAAACAAGGGGGACTGTGTCCTGCATAATGGGATTATGTGTCATCCTAAGGGGAGGGGATGTGTGGGTGGCAACTCATGTATGATTGGTGTATTGTGCAATTACTGTCAATCCCTCCCTTGCATGGGAGAATGCTTTAAAAGAAGGTTGTGTGATTAAAAGTTCAGTTCTGCTCCTGATGCTGTGTGTCGTCCAGTCATTGGGATTGATGTTGGGATATTATTGGATTGTCTTGCCTGCTGGAATTATTGCCTTATGGAGCAGTATTACCGTCAATTCGTGTAAGAACTACCGAACGGCTCCCCGTTCGGTAGAAAGAACCCTGCAAACAAGGGGGTTTACCCAAATCCTCCCCAGTCTCCATAACCCAAGCCATTGGCCCTTTTATGTGACCGACCGCAGGGCCAAAATGTATGGAACTCCTTTCGGCTGTTAACTCTGTCTTTTTATTACCTCCAGGAATTTCCCGAACCTCTGGTCTGATCTGGGTGATTTTTGGATATGTGTCTCACCCAGATCATATGTTTAGGGGTACATCCAGAAAACCAGGGGAACTGTGTCCTGCATAATGGGATTATGAGTCATACTAAGGGGAGGGGATGTGTGGGTGGCAACTCGTGTATGATTGGTGTATTGTGTAATTATTGTAAATCCCTCCCTTGCATGGGAGAAAGCTTTAAAATAAGGTTGTGTGATTAAAAGTTCAGTTCTGCTCCTGATGCTGTGTGTCGTCCAGTTATTGGGATCTGTATGGGGATATCCGTGGATTACCTTGCTTGCTGTGATTATTATTCTATGGTATTTTATTACTTGTTTCTGAGCCTCACTGGGATCTTTAGTGGAGTTAACCTGTGAAAGAGCAGCTCTTCGATATATATATATATAGGTGTTTATTTAACTAATAAGGGATTCTCTCTCTCTCTATAGGTGTTTAACTAATAAGGGCCTTGTAACGACCCCCTACCATGTTGCCTGGGAACCTCTACCTTCTGTTTGTTTTTGCCATCATCCACATTGTCTGTACCTAAAGAACAAAGACTATGTCTGGCCCTTTAACTGTTTTGTACAAAGGATTGATACGTTTGATATGGCCCTTCGGATACAGCCGAAGTGGCCGCCATTAGACAATCGAACAAGTGGCGGCGGCCATTTTAATCCAGTCGAACGCGGTCAGCGGTGTGTGCCATCAAATCCCTGGAACGTAAATTGGCCACACATTGGAACGAACACCGCTGACCTGTACATTCCCCTACCCTTCGACACTGCGGCTGGAGAGTAAGTCCCATTCGAAGATTTGAACACACGTTCGAATGGGACTTTGTCATTCTGGTGTAAAATAGACCTCCATTAGACAATTGAACACTGCTGAAACGTAACCCCGGTTTCACTTTGACACTTCGCCTTCGGATGGGACTTTGTTATTTTTCAGGGCAGAAATAGACTGACCGCACAGCCTGGATCTATGGAACTATTTTGGGCATGCAAACAGGCGTTCAGTTGGTCCAAAGAGACTTTTTAATATTTCTGGAACCACTGAACGGATTGATACGAATTTTGAATATGTTTTTCCCCAAGTTGTGTTGTTCATAAAAATATAAGTTTTATTCCTGTGTGATTAAAAATCAGAAAGTTATAAAAAATGCATAAAAAGTATAAGTTTTAGCTTGGGGATAATTGAGTAGTGTAACGGCACCCCCAGGCATAAAAGGGTTAAACCGCCGTTTAGTAGATCTTCCCTTCCAGAGACACAGGCACAGCTACTGCAGAACACCAATCCACCGAACAGGAAACTATACGAATGCTGTAAACAGCCGAATAGGAAAAACCATACGTATAGGTTTACACTCCTAGCAGTCGAACTCGAACAGCATACGGTAAATCCCCCCAAGAACGAGACAAAGCTCCGTGTTGAGGGTCAAGCAGTGAACAGTCAGAGCTGTGGGTTTATTGTGCTTATGTACACATTCTTACACATTAGTACCACCCACAGGGTTTTGGAACACAACCAATAAACACATACAATACACTCAGACACTCCCACACAAATTCCTCCCCTCTGCATGTGATTCAATTACCTTACACAATGGGTAATGTAATTTAGCACAAGCAGAGAAATACAATTTTTCCACATTATTCATAACTTGAAAAGTATGCATCACATTCACATAAAACATTACATTTTCAGAATCAGCATACTCCAAATACAAACATACGTCAAAATCATACAAATTGGTCCAGTGGTTCAAAAGATAGATCGTAGTCCTTTGTGACCACAGGAAGCATGGCTTTTCTGTCCAAAACCAGTTCCACAGAGTCTTCTATCCTGGAGATAATTGTGAAGTAATCCAATTATCTCCAAAGACCGAGGCAAAACTCCATTGAACACATGGCAGCAAAAAGACAGTAAAATACAATAAAATACACAAGGTTACATTAATGACATAAAATACAGACATGCAACATATCCCCAGATAGCTCAGATCTGAGCGCACATTATTACTGAATGGTGCTCAGACCACAAACACATACAGTTCAATTGCCATGGAGCCAAAGTCTTTCCCATAGTCTTTCATTATACAAATGGGCTCCATGGCATAGCTATCTGGGGTATCACTGCTCAAACCGGGCAAGCACCAAATGACCCGGCTTTCATGTCTTTGCAGGGGAAAATCAAGCCTTTTAACATGGGGCCATAATCCAAAGGCAACAGGCGAGCAACCAGGCTTCTCCAATGCAATGTGGCGAGATTGGTCTCGTCACAAGTAGATACAGTAAGAAACTCAATTATATCCCAAGCAGAGGGGAGGGAATCTGTGGGATGTAACTGTTGTCTGATTGGTTAATGTCTAATTACCTGTGGGCGTCTCCCTTGCAGGGGAGCACTGCATAAAAGCAGAGTGTGTGTCATTAAACCTCAGTTCTACTTTACCCTTCAAAATGTAGCTTTGTCTCATTATTGAAAGGGAACCTGCTCAGCTAATCACTAGCTCTTTTAAGAGCTCTATCTTTCTCTCTCTGCCTGGATCCAGCTGATAGAAAGAAGGCTACTCCATTACTGCACAGCATCTTGCCGGGAAAAAGGACGTCTCCAACGGCTGATACCCCCTCTCCACTGGGGTAGCTGTTACAGGACTCTCTCTATCTATCTATCTATCTATCTATCTATCTATCTATCTATCTATCTATATATATATACGGAGAGAGGTGTTTATATAACTAATAAGGCTCTCTCTCTCTCTCTCTATAGGTGTTTATATAACTAATAAGGGACCCTCTCTCTCTATAGGTGTTTATATAACTAATAAGGCTCTCTCTCTCTCTATAGGTGTTTATTTAACTAATAAGTCTCTCTCTCTCTCTATAGGTGTTTATTTTACTAATAAGTCTCTCTCTCTCTCTATAGGTGTTTATATAACTAATAAGGGACCCTCTCTCTCTATAGGTGTTTATATAACTAATAAGGCTCTCTCTCTCTCTCTCTCTCTCTCTCTCTCTATAGGTGTTTATTTAACTAATAAGGCTCTCTCTCTCCTAATAGGTGTTTATATAACTAATAAGGCTCTCTCTCTCTCTCTCCTCCTCTATAGGTGTTTATATAACTATAAGAGACCCTCTCTCTCTATAGGTGTTTATTTAACTAAATAAGGCTCTCTCTCTCTATATGTGTTTATTTAACTAATAAGTCTCTCTCTCTCTCTCTCTCTCTCTCTCTATAGGTGTTTATATAACTAATAAGGGACCCTCTCTCTCTATATGTGTTTATTTAACTAATAAGGCTCTCTCTCTCTCTCTCTCTCTCTATAGGTGTTTATATAACTAATAAGGGACCCTCTCTCTCTATAGGTGTTTATATAACTAATAAGGCTCTCTCTCTCTCTATAGGTGTTTATATAACTAATAAGGGACCCTCTCTCTCTATAGGTGTTTATATAACTAATAAGGCTCTCTCTCTCTCTCTCTCTCTCTCTCTCTATAGGTGTTTATATAACTAATAAGGGACCCTCTCTCTCTATAGGTGTTTATATAACTAATAAGGCTTGCTCTCTCTCTATAGGTGTTTATTTAACTAATAAGTCTCTCTCTCTCTCTATAGGTGTTTATATAACTAATAAGGGACCCTCTCTCTCTATATGTGTTTATTTAACTAATAAGGCTCTCTCTCTCTCTCTCTCTCTCTCTCTCTCTCTCTCTCTCTCTCTATAGGTGTTTATATAACTAATAAGGGACCCTCTCTCTCTATAGGTGTTTATATAACTAATAAGGCTCGCTCTCTCTCTATAGGTGTTTATTTAACTAATAAGTCTCTCTCTCTCTCTATAGGTGTTTATATAACTAATAAGGGACCCTCTCTCTCTATAGGTGTTTATATAACTAATAAGGCTCGCTCTCTCTCTATAGGTGTTTATATAACTAATAAGTCTCTCTCTCTCTATAGGTGTTTATATAACTAATAAGGGACCCTCTCTCTCTATAGGTGTTTATATAACTAATAAGGCTCTCTCTCTCTCTATAGGTGTTTATATAACTAATAAGGGACCCTCTCTCTCTATAGGTGTTTATTTAACTAATAAGGCTCTCTCTCTATATGTGTTTATTTAACTAATAAGGCTCTCTCTCTCTCTCTCTCTCTCTCTCTCTCTAGGTGTTTATATAACTAATAAGTCTCTCTCTCTCTCTATATGTGTTTATATAACTAATAAGGGACCCTCTCTCTCTATAGGTGTTTATATAACTAATAAGGCTCTCTCTCTCTCTATAGGTGTTTATATAACTAATAAGGGACCCTCTCTCTCTATAGGTGTTTATTTAACTAATAAGGCTCTCTCTCTATATGTGTTTATTTAACTAATAAGGCTCTCTCTCTCTCTCTCTCTCTATAGGTGTTTATATAACTAATAAGGGACCCTCTCTCTCTATAGGTGTTTATATAACTAATAAGGCTCTCTCTCTCTCTCTATAGGTGTTTATTTAACTAATAAGTCCCTCTCTCTCTATAGGTGTTTATATAACTAATAAGGCTCTCTCTCTCTATAGGTGTTTATATAACTACAAGGCTCTCTCTCTCTCTCTCTCTCTCTCTCTATAGGTGTTTATATAACTAATAAGGGACCCTCTCTCTCTATAGGTGTTTATATAACTAATAAGGCTCTCTCTCTCTCTCTCTCTCTCTCTCTCTCTAGGTGTTTATATAACTAATAAGGGACCCTCTCTCTCTATAGGTGTTTATATAACTAATAAGGCTCTCTCTCTCTCTCTATAGGTGTTTATTTAACTAATAAGTCTCTCTCTCTCTCTATAGGTGTTTATATAACTAATAAGGGACCCTCTCTCTCTATATGTGTTTATTTAACTAATAAGGCTCTCTCTCTCTCTCTCTCTCTCTATAGGTGTTTATATAACTAATAAGGGACCCTCTCTCTCTATAGGTGTTTATATAACTAATAAGGCTCTCTCTCTCTCTATAGGTGTTTATTTAACTAATAAGTCTCTCTCTGTCTCTATAGGTGTTTATATAACTAATAAGGGACCCTCTCTCTCTATAGGTGTTTATATAACTAATAAGGCTCGCTCTCTCTCTATAGGTGTTTATATAACTAATAAGTCTCTCTCTCTCTATAGGTGTTTATATAACTAATAAGGGACCCTCTCTCTCTCTATATATATATAGTTGTTTATATAACTAATAAGGGACTCTCAAACCGTAAGTTGACCCACCTGTCGCGCCAGGATTAGTTCCCACAGCGTTCAGCACAGCATGGGTCCTCACTTTATGGTTTCATTTTGTTACCTTATACTCACCTAGCTGCTCATGTAAAATCTGTTGGTTAAAATCTGTTTTGGTTAAAATCTGTTCGGTTAAAACTACAAACGAAATACAATTTTTCGCCTACACACTGACCCCTACTGGTCATTCGGTGTACTACAGGCTGCTTAGACATTATCGCATTTCATGTACAAACCAACGAACCACTGCATTTTCACCTAGACACTGACCCCTACCGGTCATTCGGTGTACTACAGGCTTCTCAGATATTATTGTATTTCATGTACAAACCAACGAACCACTGCATTTTCACCTACACACTGACCCCTACTGGTCATTCGGTGTACTACAGGCATCTCAGACATTATTGCATTTCATGTACAAACCAACGAACCACTGCATTTTCACCTACACACTGACCCCTACCGGTCATTCGGTGTACTACAGGCTTCTCAGATATTATTGCATTTCATGTACAAACCAACGAACCACTGCATTTTCACCTACACACTGACCCCTACTGGTCATTCGGTGTACTACAGGCATCTCAGACATTATTGCATTTCATGTACAAACCAATGAACCACTGCATTTGCGCCTACACACCGACCCCTATCGGTCATTCTGTGTACTACAGGCTTCTTAGACGTTTTTGCATTTCATGTACAAACCAATAAACCACTGCATTTTCACCTACACACTGACCCCTACCGGTCATTCAGTGTACTACAGGCTTCTCAGACATTATTGCATTTCATGTACAAACCAACAAACCACTGCATTTGCGCCTACACACTGACCCCTACCGGTCATTCGGTGTACTACAGGCTTCTTAGACGTTTTTGCATTTCATGTACAAACCAATAAACCACTGCATTTTCACCTACACACTGACCCCTACCGGTCATTCAGTGTACTACAGGCTTCTCAGACATTATTGCATTTCATGTACAAACCAACGAACCACTGCATTTGCGCCTACACACTGACCCCTACCGGTCATTCAGTGTACTACAGGCATCTCAGACTTTATTTCACTTCATAAGCAAACAAACTAACTACAGCATTTTTGCTTTTATACTGACTCCTATCTGTCAAACGGTATACTACAGGCTTTTCAGACATATGGTTATTCCCCTCATAACATTCCCATTATAATTACACAATAACACTTCCTTACAAATCATGCTTGCTATGATATAATCATTCCTGCATACCTGCCTACATAGGCATTTAGTTACATTTACTGACAATACGCATGCATTTACCCAAGAATGCACATACTATTTAAAGCACTATGCAGGATTCCAGAGCCTAATACGGAATGTTTGCACGCTTAAAATATAAGTCCTTCCAATTATGTATTTTCAAATATTTGGTTATTCAGCTGCCAGTCATGGTTCACTACACTCATGTTTCGGGGTACAGTTGTATTCCATATCACACATGATATAACACTCCCGACAAGTTAATTTCCTTCAAACCGGGGCATTACAAGCATACAATAAACATTGGGACAGAGCACTTTGCTCTATTAAACTTGCATAACACACATATGGGTATACGCCTTTAAATGTCTATATTCAATTTTCATACATTGTTTTACCCGTCCGGGATACAGGTATTAATAACCCTTACGACCAGTAAGGGTATCTAATCATACTACCAGGTACATACACCTGCTCATGTGGTATATACATACATTTTCTGTTTCTCCCTGGGTATATCCCTAGCGTACTGGCAATTAGGGACTATAGGTTTCCAATAGGTATTTTCCTTTCTATACGCCTGTCGTATAGTGGTCCCGCGAGGCCAACACCCCACCTCAATGCTCGGAGGCAAACACCCATGGGGCCACTCATGAGCTAGCCGCCTCGCGTGGTATATAGAGAGGGCCTCACCTGTCACTCCCTTCCCCATTTTTATGGTTACAGTCACCGAGAGGCCAACTACGTTTGGTGGCCACAAAATCCCCTCGCGCCATTGCATAGATAGAGCCTCTCAAGCCACTTGGCAACTAGCAGGGCCTCACCTGTCACCAAACAAAGGATTAATTGTTTTGCCATGCGGCTTTAGCTAGCAAGCCACTACTAGCACACTGTGGGTTCATATAATAATGGCTATCTTCATGTTTTTAGTATGTATCAAGCAGGTGGTAAGGATTTCTCTCTACCTAAGACTCCAGCTAGAGTCAACACACTTTCACTTGGAGATGTTGCTAGTCCCACAGGACAATTTTGTCCCAACACAGCGGACGATCACGTTTCAGGCTCCAGGCTCTAGCACCTCTGGTAGTACGCAGAGAACTACCAGAGACAAATTGGGTCGTCTCATTCTCTTTGGCAAATCCCAGATTTGCAACAATTTGGCACATGTAGTTTCAGTGCATGCAGACTGTTGCAGATATGTTCTCAATATGTCAGGGCACATGCAAAAACCATGTGTCCCAATAAATGTACCCTGAACCTTACTTCACGTCTGTAAACATTATGCATTTCCAGTACTTTCTAATGCATCACCCTTCCAGACATTTAGTTGATTTCCTAATCTCAGAATTTTAAAGGCCTTCCGTACAGGTATTGCCATATACTTTGGGGGAATCTAGAATGCCCTAACTTGCAGTCATCACAGCAGCATCCAACATCTGGCATTACACTCATGGCCCAAGAAATGGCAGAAAGATTTCTACCTGGGCCTCTCCGATCTACACCATTTACAGCGTGGCGCAATCCCATTGGGATTGTCACAGGGAATCTTCCCTCACACTATAACTGATCATAGACTTATCTGCACCTCACGCCTTGGCTACCCCATGGTCTCAACTCCTTCATACCCTCCGAGGAGTTTTCATTACAGTATGCCACCATTGTTCATACCATTACAACTATCACTCAAGCAGGGGGGGAAGCCTGGTTAAGTAAAACTGATATCACAAACGCATTTCAGACTGCCACCATCCACCCTGCACTGGCACTTACATTTGCATTTATGGGCAGCAGTTATATATTTCTTCTCCCGCTTAACTTTCGGGTCAAGAGCAGCCCACAATCTTCAATATATTCATTGAACTCGTTACTGGTTGTGGTTAAACATATCCAGATGCCCCACAGTCATACACTCCCGAGATGATTTCTTGTTGGTCAAAGGGAATGCCTTTCCCTCTAGAAGCTTCAAGGAACACTTGGGTGTCTGAACACTTGGGTGTCCCAGTATTCCCTAAGGTCACAGAAGACCCAGACACTATCGTTACATTCCTGGGCATACAACTTGACTCTGCATCCATGCCAACAAGTTACCACGTGAGAAATAGGAACAGTCGCAATAACACCAATTACCACCTCCTGCTTGGTACTTGCAAACACATGGAACTACAATCCCTACCAGGTTCCTTAAATTTTGCCAATGCACATCATGCCGCAGGCCCGCTTTCATCTCAGACCCCTTTGCTTTTTCCTCCCTCCTGAATGATGATCAGGGGCTGTCCCTAGACAACCAAGCCATGGCAGACCTACACATATGATGGACTTTCTTAACCACATGTAATGGTAAACTATTGTGGCAGCTGCTGTGACAGCCGCCATGGCAGGGGGGTCATTTATGGTCAAGGTCATGGATTACATGAACCTCGCCAACATAGCCGGGCTCTGACTAAACTGGCCTTGTCCACCAGCACTCAACACGCTTGCTACAGGGTTTTCCACTTATACAATACGTTTCATGTTCGACTATCACTTAGATAGCCGGTTTGAGGTTTCACCATGTATGGCCTTCGCCTCTTTTTGCCACCTTAAGTTAATAATTCTCGCACAACATGGTTAAACTTTATCTCACGGGCATTCAACACTATACGTATTTCTCCTTCCCAAACAAGGGTTCCTATCCTCCTACCCCATCCATACCTTACTTAGAGGCATAGCCAAGCGGACGTTCCCGCTAAAACTAAATACTGGCCATAGACATACAATGTTCAAACCATGTCAGAACCACTCGACCATGCACTTCCGAGCCACGCACCAATGCAGTTATCAAAACTGCTACCTATCTAGCCTTTAACGGCTTTCTCAGGCCAAAACAATAACTCACTATCAGCGGCCAACATCATAAACAAGAGTGCCTGTTGACCTCTTATCTTCTAAAACACACAGACCACTATGTCCGGTCCCTTCCTAAAACTAATACGAGTCAGATGGGCGAGCCAGTGCATATAACCTACTACCTTACAAGCAATGCTGGGTGCCCGGTTAAGGTACTGATTACGTTCTTGGGCACGCCACTATACGCACCACTGAACCATTACTGTCGCTGTACGATACTGTCCTTACCACAGGTAAGTTCATGCACTATGTCCACCTACTCATTCACCGGGCTCGAACTAAACCCTAGCGACTACTCAGGGCACTCCTTTAGGATAGGAGCAGCTTATACAGCCTATAGCCAAGACATCCCCACACACGTTAAGACACGGGGCCGCTGAGAATCATAGGCTTATGCGACTTACATACCACAGCCAATTTGGGAATTAGTAAGCTTTCATTAAAATGTCTAACTGATGGTTAATAAATGCATTATGATCCTGTATAATGTTTTGCATTAATATGTCATGAGTTTTTTGACTAAATATACTATATACCTGCTGAGTCCAATGACTTGAGGGTAGACGTACAGGACACAATTGCCAGGAATATAGGGTGAGACATGTGGAGTGCAGAAGTGTCTGTACTGACCCAAGACCAGGAAGGACATGACTATACTGATGAATGATTTTTCCAGTCTTGTGTCTCTGGTCTCAATGACCACTGAGATATCGCCCTAGGTGTATGAGCGGTATTCTGTAATATCGTGGGAGGCAATGAAAAGCGAGACAAGATTAACGTCCTTGCCTTCCAGTATGTCCTTTAGGTTTCCCGGTACCATCTGGATTGGGGGAATCTCCTTCTTCTAGAACTTGGGACATACTGAAATATATGTAGGAATCATGAGTTCTATAGGCCAGTAAGCCTTACTTCAGTAGTGGGGAAAGTGATGGAAACCATGTTAAAGGATAGGATTGATGAACATCTAAAAACACATGGATTTCAAGATCAGAGACAACATGGGTTTACTTCAGGGAGATCATGCCAAACTAATCTTATTGATTTTTTTGATTGGGTAACTAAAATTATAGATCAGGGTGGTACAGTAGACATTGCTTACCTAGATTTCAGTAAGGCTTTTGACACTGTTGCACATAGAAGGCTTATCAATAAACTGCAATCTTTAAGTTTGGATTCAAATATTGTTGAATGGGTAAGGCAGTGGCTGAGTGACAGGCAACAGAGGGTTGTAGTTAATGGAATATATTCGAAGCTTGGACTTGTCACCAGTGGTGTACCTCAGGGATCTGTACTTGGACCCATTCTCTTTAATATTTTTATTAGTGATATTGCAGAAGGTCTTGATGGTAAGGTATGTCTTTTTGCTGATGATACTAAGATATGTAACAGGGTTGATGTTCCAGGAGGGATAAGCCAAATGACAAATGATTTAGGTAAACTAGAAAAATGGTCAGAATTGTGGCAACTGACATTTAATGTGGATAAGTGCAAGATAATGCATCTTGGACGTAAAAACCCAAGGGCAGAGTACAGAATATTTGATAGAGTCCTAACCTCAACATATGAGGAAAGGGATTTAGGGGTGATTATTTCTGATGACTTAAAGGTAGGCAGACAATGTAATAGAGCAGCAGGAAATGCTAGCAGAATACTTGGTTGTATAGGGAGAGGTATTAGCAGTAGAAAGAGGGAAGTGCTCATGCCATTGTACAGAACACTGGTGAGACGTCACTTGGAGTATTGTACACAGTACTGGAGACCGTATCTTCAGAAGGATATTGATACCTTAGAAAGGGTTCAGAGAAGGGCTACTAAACTGGTTCATGGATTGCGGGATAAAACTTACCAGGAAAGGTTAAAGGATCTTAACATGTATAGCTTGGAGGAAAGACGAGACAGGGGGGATATGATAGAAACATTTAAATATATAAAGGGAATCAACACAGTAAAGGAGGAGACTATATTTAAAAGAAGAAAAACTACCACAACAAGAGAACATAGTCTTAAATTAGAGGGACAAAGGTTTAATCGGGTCTCAGATGAACTCCTGTTCCAAAAATATCTGAGCCCTGAACACATGGAGTACATTCATTATATAGTAATATAACTCCTCCCATAATTAGCTACGCCCAAACATACCCTTAAACTCGTCCATCCGGTCTAACCATGTGGCTCATCTGAAACAAAGGAGAAGGGAGCGTAATTCCAGTTCCTGCATTCCTGCACATGCTCAGTACATTGATGACAGTATCTTAGCTACATGTAACTAACTAACTGATACTACAAACACATGTACCTACATATGCCACGTGGCAATCTTGGCCTACTAAACTTTTATTTTACTGGAATTCCATCACATTCCCCCATTTGATGCTTCTGATTTAAAATAATTCCAGATGCATCACCAATCATAGTTTGCCAACACCTCTTGTTACGGTACCCTCAGCATCAGATGCACAAACCGCCATTTAGTAAATCCTCCCCTCTCGCAGTAACATAGGCTGTATGCGTATCAAGTACAATCATACAAACCGCAAGCAGGGGAACGCTGTAAACTCACGAACGGGATCCGCGGGGGCACTTCACTTCACGAGCTCCAAACTCACGAATCGCCAATAGTAGCCGAACACATATATCTCCCAAGTGACTAATAATCCCATCCAGCAGTCTCTAGTCGTCGGTAATAATTCCCCCCAATAACGAGACCAAGCTCCGCATTAAGGGTAAAACATGAACTGGCTTTACTGTGGACTACCTGCCCGTATTTATGCAGGTCTCCCACTTGGTGGACACTCCCCTAGGGGACCAAATGGGAGACTGTAACAATAGACAGACATATGGCAGGTTAGGACCCACAGACACAGAATATTCCCAGCATGCATTAGTATGTCCTCCCCTCTGCCCTGGAGATAATTGAGAAGTAATTAAATCATCTCCAGGACAGAGGCAAATCGCCATTTTAAATTAAACACATAAAAACACATAAAAATACATAACTTTACATTTGTCGAATGTTACCCATTCGTATCACGTATCCCCAGATAGCCTGGATCTGAGTGCATATTATTGGCGAATAGCGCTCAGATCCCATACGCATAGTTCAATCGCCATGGAGTCAAAGTCTATTACAGTCTTTCGGTATGCGATTGACTCCATGGGAAGGCTATCTGGGGTAAGTCCATTCGTGCGTATAAAACTCTCGAACGGCCAGTGTTCGTATACTTCCGTCGACCGAGAAGGGAGGTCGGCGGCTTCAGTGGTGTTCGGCAGAAAAAGTGTCAGTTTTTTGTTCCATGAAATCCATGCTGAACACTGCTGGTCTTTCGCATGGTTTAAAATGGCTGCCGCCTCGTGGTCGACATACGAACGACGACCACCCTGTATTCGGTTTTAATTGAGAAGTGTCTGCGGTTAACCACAAAGTTCTAATTGGGATCAAGAGGTTAACCAGCAGCACATTTTCTTCTGGGTGGCCGTCCGTTCGGTAGTTTTGTTCGGCGGAAAAGTCAATTCACTGAACAGGGGCATACGAACGGGTAATTCCACGAAAAGGCAAAATAGACGAACCAGCAATCCCAGTATATACAGATGGATCTGTCACACCTCTCAAGTAGCCATGAACCAGAACAGACCTCGTAAGCATCCTTAGCATATTCTTTTAGCATTCCCCATCCTGAATATGCTCTCTCTGGGCTAAAGGTTCATATTTACAGACAGCCATTACATGGGCAGCTGTCTTCCTCTCAATAATGCTGTGTATAACACTTTGTATGGACCTGACCACTAATGGAATTAAGCAGGGCAGAAAGAGACATAGGAATATAATAAATACTACTCCTTCTACTAATGCCTTAATCCCTCCAAGCTGCTCATACCAACTTCCAAACCAACTACTTGGGTTATACCCACTCCAGACCTGAGTAGGTACATGTGCAAGTTTAACCATGTGACTGGTAAGTTCAGCCACTGCCTGCCCTTCCTCATCTATGTGCAGACAACAGTTACTTAGATTAAACTTCCCGCATACACCTCCCTGTACTGCTAATAAGTAGTCCAGAGCTAATCTATTTTGATAGATGGCTGATCTCATTCGAGTATTATGTTTAGCAAGGAGATTGAGCGCTTGTGCTGTCTCATTGGTGATAATCTCAACCACCGCCTGTAGTCTTATAATACGATTAAGCATATATATTGGGGTTCTATATCCATAAGTACCATTGTAGCGGATGGCCATGAGCTGCCCTGGATCTTGTATTATGTTTAACCTGTATTCGTCTATTTGCTAAATGTATAGGCAGTAAGGGAATGCATTCGTGTAACATAGCAAATTTCTATGTGCTAAATATATTGTATTCGTCTGAATGTTAGGTAGTTTCATTCCCTTAGTTTGTTCGAATGAAACTACCGAACAGTCAGACCTCCCCTGTGTGAAGTGTGCCTTCAATTACCCGTTGCAACATTGTTGCGAACGGGTAATTGACAAGCTGTGTAGCAATCCTTTGTTCTCGGGGGTGGCCACCATTCGGGAAAAGAACACGTGGCGGCGGCCATCTTAAACTCCCAAACAGTGGTGTTTTGCCGTCGAGTGTCTGGAACTCAAAACGGACACTCGACTAGGCGAACACCGCTGAGACCTCCATTAGCCCGGTCCGTTCGGTTCCAAACTACCGAACGGCCCCTCGTTCGATAAGCATAATCAACCGAACGAGGGGATTCAGGCGAACCCTTCCCAGCCTCTATAGCTGGAGGCTTTCAGGTACTTCATTCGCCTTTTCCAGGACCGACCGCAGGGCCCAATCTCATGGAGCTCAATTCGGCTAGTTCATCCAGTGCGGTCGGTCATTTTATTCCCTCCATGAAATTCCCGAACCCCTGGTCTGATCTGGGTGATTTTTGGATATGTTGTTCACCCAGATCAGGGCTACCAGGGAATGCATAATTTAAAGTGGTACCCCTAGGTTTAGGGGTACATCCAGAAATGGCGGGAATTGCTGTACTGGATAAGGGGATTATGATGCCGGCTGAGGGGAGGAGATGTGTGGGAGGTTACCAGGACAGGATTGGCTATTGTGTTAATGAATGTAATCCCTCCCTTGCATGGGAGCATGCTTTAAAAGGCCACTGTGGAATAAAGCTTTCAGTTCTGCTCCTGATGCTGTGTGTCGTCCAGTCATTGGGATTGCTGTGGGGATACTATTGGATTATTTTGCCTGTTGGAAACCTTGCCTGTGGATTTATAATTTACTTGTTCCTGAGCCTCACTGGGATCTTAAGCGGAGATAATCTGTGGAATATTGTATCTCCGCTACATTGGTTGGCAGCGCTGGGATCCAGACTCACAGAGGAACAAGCATAAATGGAGTACGGATGGAGATTGATTTTGCTACGCTAAAACGCTCCACGTTAAAGGACCTCCTGGAGGCAAGGGGTATCCAAGCCAGCAACAAGAAGAAAGCGGTACTCATTACTGAACTCATGGCAGAGTACCGAATGGATGGCGATTCGGTTCCCGAACAGGGGGATTCGGGAGAAACACAGGAACAGATGGAGTTCCAGAGGCAGCTACAATTTAGGCTGTCTTTTTATGGGGAACACCCTTCAGCGGAAATTATTTCCAAGACCATGACAGAGGTCCAGGAATTTATCTTAAGAAAACAGACAACAGCAACCCCAGAACGCAGCTCTGCAGTAAATATGCCACAAGAAGGTAAGCCTAAAATACCATACCAGGCTTTTAAAACGTATGTGGAGGCAGAGGAAGATATAGACGCTTTCCTGCAAGATTTTGAGAGACTGTGTACACTGCATAGAATCAGCGCAGAGGACTGGGTACCTATTTTGGCAAGACGGTTAACTGGGAGGGCAGCAGAGGCATATCGTACTGTACCCAATGAGGAAATCCGGAATTACAATAAAGTAAAATAAATTATACTGGCCCGGTATGCTATAACACCAGAAGCATACTGGCGGAGATTCCGGGATTTAAAGAAAGTGTAAAAGGACTCACATGCAGAGTGGGCATGCAGGTTACAAAGGGCAGCACTCGGGTGGGTGCAAGCTAGCAAGGCACGGTCCATGGAGGATGTAATACAGATGATGCTGATGGAGCAATTTTATGAGGGAGTAACCAATGATGTCCAGTAGTGGGTAAGGGACAGAAACCCTACCTCCCTCACCGAAGCTGCCAGGAAGGCAGATGAGTACCTGGACGCACGCAGGCAGCAAAAACCTGCAGCTCCAAAAGCCGCATTCAAAACCTTTGGGGGAACCAACTACACCCCAACTCCACCGAGGCAACTACCACCACCACCACCACCGCCCGCTGCACAGCCACGTTTCTGCCAGCCCACTTCTGGGCCCTGTCACAACTGCCAGAAATGGGGGCATTATAAAAGGGAATGTCCTCAACTACGAGATCGTACCTCGTGGATCCGTCCTGGCCCGCCACCACCACCGAGGGCCGCCACCGCACACCGCTACCAGGACATCATTGCAACCCCGTATGGCTCAGCAGTACCTATTACCACTGTGGAGCAATGGGAGGTATTGCACGAGGCCGATCCGGTACAGGCGAATGCGGACAACACACAGCACCACAGACAAACAGTGTACCTGGAGGGCAAAGCAGTGCAAGGACTTCGGGACTCTGGGGCCACTATTACTCTGGTCAAAAGCCATTTGGTGGTAGCCGTTAGGGTAGCCGGGGGAGCTGTATACCGGCTACCCACAGCCAGGGTTCACTTGCATTGGGTAGCAGGGACGGGAGAAGTGGAGGTGGGGTTGATGCCACAACTGCCCGCGGAAGTTTTGTTGGGCAACGATTTGGGGAGGCTCACATCAGCTTTTGAGCCCCAGATCCCGGTCACAGGAGAGGCTCACCCTGTGGTCACTAGACAACAGGCCCGCACCCAGGCTCCATCCACACTGCCGGAGGTTCAGGTAAGAGATCCTTCACCTTCCCTAGACTGTGTCCCCTGGGCCCCTCCTAACGAATTTGCAGCCGAGGTAGTGACCGACCCCACATTGCAGGTGTATAAGGACAAGGTGACAGCAGACGCCCCAGGGGGAGATGGCGAAAGGTTTATCTGGGACAAACAGCTGTTGTACAGATAGCCGGGTCAGACCCGATCGTGATGAGACAGTTGGTGGTACCACAGCGGTACCGAACAGAGTTACTCCGGATAGCACATGACATTCTGCTATCCGGACAATAAGGGGTCAGCAGGACCCGGCTCAGGTTAACACAAAGCTTCTTTTGGCCTGGAGTTAGCCAGGAAGTGCGCAGGTATTGCAACACTTGTGATACATGCCAAAGGGTGGGGAAGAGGGGGAACCGGCGCAAGGCCAAGCTACACCCCCTCCCTATAATTGAGGAACCCTTTAGTAGGGTAGCGGTCAATTTAATAGGACCCCTCAACAAAGCGAGCCCGTCAGGCAAAAGATTTATCCTGACAGTGGTAGACTATGCCACTAGGTATCCAGAGGCAGTGCCCCTGACGAATATACATGCTGAAACGGTAGTGGAAGCCCTCATGCAAATATTCTCCCGGGTGGGACTCCCCAGGGAGATTGTCTTGGATCAGGGTACCCAGTTCACCGCCGAAGTCACGCAGCGCCTCTGGAAGTTCTGTGACATTAAGCCTGTCATTAGTTCCCCTTACCACCCCCAGACTAATGGGCTCTGCGAACGTTTCAACGGTACATTGAAACAGATGCTCCGAACCTTCGCAGAGACCCACAAGAACTGGGAGAAATTCCTGCCTCACCTCCTCTTTGCTTAAAGGGAGGTGCCGCAGGAATCCACAGGGTTTTCCCCATTCAAATTATTGTTTGGCCGCAGGGTACGGGGGCCCTTAGATTTAATTCGAGAGCACTGGGAGGGAGAACGGAGCACCGACGATACTCCCATCATACCGTATGTGTTGGCATTCCAAGACCGCCTGGAGTCCCTAACCCAGACGGTACGAGAAAATTTGCAGGCGGCTCAGACCCGCAAGCGCACATGGTATGATTGGGGCGCCAGGGACCGTAGCTTTCAGGTCGGGCAGAAAGTGTTAATTTTAAAACCTGTCCGACACGATAAGCTGCAGGCCGCCTGGCAAGGCCCTTATAAAGTGGTGGAACAAAGGTGTGACACCACTTATATAATAGGCTCTTGCGTTGGTACTGGAGGGCGACGCATGCTCCATGTGAACATGATGAAGCCCTACCAGGAGCGCTCCGAGGAAGTGACCGCCATATGCGCACCTAACTCGGAGGAGTTCGACAGTCTGCCTCTCCCAAATCTGCTGGGAGAGGGTCAGTTATCTGGGGACTTAGGGGAAGTTGCGCTGGGAGACCGGCTGAGCCCACAGGAGCGGAGCGAGGTACAGCAACTATTGAGGGAGAAGCGAGATATCTTCTCCAATGTACCTGGTTACACTCCTCTGGCCACTCACCGAGTAGACACACCAGGTCAACTTCCCATGCGTCAGACCCCGTACCGCATCCCAGAAGCGGTACGGGAAAACATGCGCAAGGAAATCGATGAGATGCTCCAGCTGGGGGTGATTGAACCCTCTGACAGCCCCTGGGCTTCTCCGGTAGTGCTAGTACCAAAACGGGACGGAACGACCCGTTTTTGTGTAGACTACCGGAGACTGAATGAGAAGACGGTATCTGACGCCTATCCCATGCCCAGGATAGACGAACTACTGGACCGGATGGCTAGAGGACACTATCTCACCACTATTGACTTGTGTAAGGGGTATTGGCAAATTCCCTTAGCACATGACGCGATCCCTAAGTCGACCTTTGTCACCCCATTCGGCTTGTACCAATTTAAGGTCATTTCAGCGGATGGTGGACCGCCTCCTGGATGGGTTCCAAGATTATACCTGTGCCTGGCAGGAACACTTGGCCCATATAGGAGCGGTCCTAGATGGGATTAGGGCAGCTGGTTTAACGCTGAAACCAGCCAAATGCAGCAGTACAATACCTCGGCCATCGGGTAGGATGTGGCAAGCAGAAGCCAGAACCAGCCAAGGTAGAGGCTGTAGCCCAATGGCCTACCCCTAGGACTAAGACTCAGGTATTAGCGTTCCTAGGAACGGCCGGGTACTACCGGAAATTTGTCCCGAACTATAGTGCCCTGGCCAAACCCCTCACTGACTTAACCCATAAGAACCTTCCCCGCCAAGTGACCTGGACCCCAGAGTGTGAGCAGGCATTCCAACTGTTGAAAGATGCATTGACCAATGCCCCTGTCTTGGCAGCTCCCAATCCAACTAAACGTTTTCTTGTTCACACAGACGCTTCTATGTTTGGATTGGGAGCAGTACTGAGCCAAGTCGGGGCCGATGGCAGAGAACATCCCGTGGCTTACATCAGTCGCAAGCTGTTACCCCGAGAAGTAAGTTACATCGCCATTGAGAAGGAATGCCTGGATGTGGTGTGGGCCCTAAAGAAATTGCAGCCGTATTTGTATGGGCAAGCCTTTTCCCTGCTCACGGATCACAACCCGTTGGTCTGGCTAAACCGGGTGGCTGGGGACAATGCCAGGCTGCTGCGCTGGAGTTTGGCGCTGCAGCCCTTTGACTTTAATATCCAGTACTGCCCGGGTAAACAGAATGGAAATGCTGACGGGTTGTCAAGACAAACCGACCTGGAGAAATGATCCGTGAGCCTCCCCGGACATCCCCAAGCCGATCCGTGTTGGATCAGACTGTGTATGCCGGCTTGTGGGCAAGGGGGAGCAGTGTAGTGGATGGCCATGAGCTGCCCTGGGACTTGTATTATGTTTAACCTGTATTCGTCTATTTGCTAAATGTATAGGCAGTAAGGGAATGCATTTGTGTAAAATAGCAAATTTCTATGTGCTAAATGTATTGTATTCATCTGAATGTTAGGTAGTTTCATTCCCTTAGTTTGTTCGAATGAAACTACCGGACAGTCAGACCTCCCCTGTGTGAAGTGTGCCTTCAATTACCCGTTGCAACATTGTTGCGAACGGGTAATTGACAAGCTGTGTAGCAATCCTTTGTTCTCGGGGGTGGCCGCCATTCAGGAAACAAACACGTGGCGGCGGCCATCTTAAACTCCTGAACAGCAGTGTTTTGCCGTTGAGTGTCTGGAACTCAAAACGGACACTCGACTAGGCGAACACCGCTGAGACCTCCATCAGCCCGGTCCGTTCGGTTCCAAACTACCGAACGGCCCCTCCTTCGGTAGGCATAATCAACCGAACGAGGGGATTCAGGCGAACCCTCCCCAGCCTCTATAGCTGGAGGCTTTCAGGTACTTCATTCGCCTTTTCCAGGACCGACCGCAGGGCCCAATCGCTTGGAGCCCAATTCGGCTAGTTCATCCAGTGCGGTCGGTCATTTTATTCCCTCCATGAAATTCCCGAACCCCTGGTCTGATCTGGGTGATTTTTGGATATGTTGTTCACCCAGATCAGGGCTACCAGGGGATGCATAATTTAAAGTGGTACCCCTAGGTTTAGGGGTACATCCAGAAATGTGGGGAATTGCTGTACTGGATAAGGGGATTATGATGCCGGCTGAAGGGAGGAGATGTGTGGGAGGTTACCAGGACAGGATTGGCTATTGTGTTAATGATTGTAATCCCTCCCTTGCATGGGAGCATGCTTTAAAAGGCCAGTGTGGAATAAAGCTTCAGTTCTGCTCCTGATACTGTGTGTCGTCCAGTCATTGGGATTGCTGTGGGGATACTATTGGATTATTTTGCCTGTTGGAAACCTTGCCTGTGGATTTATAATTTACTTGTTCCTGAGCCTCACTGGGATCTTAAGCGGAGATAATCTGTGGAATATTGTATCTCCGCTACAACCATCTTCTGCCCAAGTAGCCGGTCCATAATAATTAATAATACGTTGGGGAGGCCACTCATCATCTTCCCAGCTACCTATATTCAAAGATGCTCGCTTCTTTTTATGATTCACATCATAAACCTTAACTCCCAAGGTCTCTCCTGTTTCGATTGGCAACAAGAAGAAGGATGGTTTGAGCATACCTGGTACACATGCCCCTTCCCAGTCTTGTGGTAACTCTGAATATGCCGCCTTACCACAAATCCAGTATAGATTTGCTGGGGCTCTCCAATTGGATGTAGCAGATAAATCAAGCCATACCTCTTTCAAATTAGTGTAATTGGCAAATGGATTAGTAGGTTCCGAGACATTTGAAGCTGACCACCAAGTAGTATCTTTTGTATTATCATTATAAGCCTTTTGTCCCAAACATGTTAACTCACCTACAGACATGTTATACATTATATACATTATCCCTTTCCTAGCTATACAAACATGACCTATAATAGAGGTTTTTAACCGCAATTCTGATTTACCTCTAGTAGTTACTTGATGATCAGACTGAGAAAGTATCTGTTCTTCATCTGTCTCAGAACCAGGGTACCATGCCTCCTTTGCTTCCCATGGCCACTGGTCTCCCATATTAGTACCTCCACATACAAAACAGTTAGTTACATTAAGACTACCCGCAATACTCTCAGCTAAATCTACAAATAGGTTCTTAACATTATGGGGAATTTTATCCTCAATAGAAGGAATGAAAAATCTGATGAGTTTGGGTTGCTACTGTCTCCGTTTCAATGCCTACATATATAATAGCCCCAGGATCCAACCCTGTTCCGTATATTTGGAATCCAAATAGATTTCCGAACTTGTCTGTGAAGTGTTGCGGATTAGAAATGGTCATATGAACACTCCATAGACTTACAATATGGTGAAAGAAAGGAAAGAAACTGCGCTCTAGATAAGTTTTACATACATACACTTGGTGTCCCTTAATCGGTGTGAGTAATATATCCTCAAAAAAAACACAGAAAGGGAAATACAATAGTGCAATATGCTATAACAAGTTAAAAACGGAAATGATGTGTAAACAGAGGTATTTCAAACTCACATTTGGTAGAGCTAATCAGGAGCTCTACCTTAACTTGCACGGACGGTACAATCCCCGTCTCAGGATAGAAGGTTCAACTTTTCAATACTCCATTGATGTAGTGGCATAGATAAAATGGAAACAGAAAAGAGAAACTCCAATAGTGTAGCAACTCTGATTCCAAATGTAGAGAAAGTAAATGAAGGTTGTTGTACTCACATTTGTTAGAGCAGACAACTTGCTCTAGTATATAAGGCTTGCAGTGGTATAATCCCCACTGAAGGATATATGGTACCAGGAAGTGATGAGGAAGATAAATAAAATAAAGTAGTATATCACTTTAAAATTATTTAATAATAACAAGTAATAACAATATAGAAAACAAAAAGGGCTATAAGAAATAACACTTTACGCGTTTCGCCAGTTCGGCTTCATCAGAAGTGTAAAATAAATGTCCTCAAGTTCACATGAATGGGGATGGCTTCCTGGTGTGTCGTGGAACGCACGCGGCAAAAAAACGGAAGCGACGCGGCGTCCACGTGTGCATAGATACCCACCGTGGAACGCACGCGTCACACCGGAAGTGACGTGGCGTTACCACAGGTAGTTCAAGTACATGCGTTCCAACAGTGGAACGCATAATGTTCGCGGCATGTTTCAATGGCAATAAAAGTCTTCCATGGCAATTGGAGATAATGAAAATCTTCTTTTGGAGTAGAACCAAATGGCAGGAAGTGCAAATTCATGCGTTCCAACAGTGGGGCGCATAGTAATCACAAAGTGATCTTCTGTTCGCAAAAGTCTCATAGACATAGTCCAAGATTAAATTCAGATGTTCATTTCATATATATCAGCATGTAAATCCAATTACATTAAAAAGAGGAAAAAAAACAAAAAAAAAAACAACATAAGGCAGTATCCATCTTCAAATAAATATAAATAAATATACATATATAAATATATAGGAATAATATATTAAAAATAAGAAATAACTAGAGTAAATATGAATAAGACTCTTAAAGGTTACTGGAATTAAAATAGGATATTTATAAAAGACAGTAATGCATAAAAGATTATTACAAAAACCCAAAGATCAAAAGGGAGGACCCAGGGATGGAATGTATTAAAATTGGATAAGAAGCAATTTATTGAGCCGAATGAGAATTATAAATTATTATAAAATATTTTTATAAAAAATTAAACAGATCAAATTCTACATTTAGACCATCCGGGTGTAAAGTATTCATATTGTAAACCCATTCCATCTCTGTGCGTCCAATTTTCTTGATGTGATCGCCTCCTCTCCAATTAGGTTTTACAGTGGTGATACCAATAAAAGTGAGATTACTAGGATCATTATTATGCATGCAGAAGTGTGAAGAAACAGAATGATTTTTAAAACCTTTTTCTATGTTTCTACAATGTTCGGCTATTCGTATTTTTAAAGGTCTAATAGTTCGTCCTATATATTGGAGGCCACAAGGGCACTCCAATAAATAAATTACATTTTTATTTCTTTAATATTGTAGGTTTTACCATTATTATTTGATTTAAAGTTACTTCTCAATTTAGGCATAGATTTAGTTTTTCGACAGGCAACACATGTATTACATTTGTAAAAACCTTTTGTTTCATTTAAAAAACTGGCCCCTGTATATTTTATCCTTGGTTTAGTATCATTTTTTGTGAGGTGCTTCTTTAAATTTGGTGCTCCCCTAAAAACTATTTTTGGTTTCTCTGGTATTAAATTCTTTAAAATAGCATCTTCTTTTAGTAAATTCCAATGTTTGTTAATAATTTTTTTGAGTTCTCTATTTTTATTATTATAATCTAATATAATAGATAGTGATATATTTTGCTCAGGGCTCGAGTCCTGCAGGAACGCGTGGGAACGGCGTTCCTGCACTTTTTTCACAGCAGGAACGCCGTTCCCCCTGCAGGCACTCAGGGGGTGGCAAAAAATGCTGCCCCCAAATGCCCTGTGTTCCCCCTGTCATGGGGGGGGGGGGGCACCTGATGGATTGCCCCCCGGCGCACGGCTCTCTCCCTGTCACACGCGGAGAGGGAGCTGTGTGCTCTCTGCTCCCTCTCGCCGCGCGGGATGTGTGCTGTTGCTGGGAGCCGGGTTGATGACGTCATATTCCGGCTCCCAGCATCAGCAGACATCCCACGCGGCGAGAGGGAGCAGAGAGCACACAGCTCCCTCTCCGCGTGTGACAGGGAGAGAGCCGTCCTCACTGCAGCCCCACTGGACCCCAGGGAAAGGTAGGGATGCTGGGTGGGTGGGATATGTTAATTTGTTAATAATATTATTAATTTGTGTGTGTGGATGTGTGTTTGTGGATGTGTGTTTGTGGATGTGTGTTTGTGGATGTCTGTGTGTGGATGTCTGTGTGTGGATGTCTGTGTGTGGATGTCTGTTTGTGGATGTCTATGTGTGGATGTGTGTTTGTGGATGTCTGTGTGTGGATGTCTGTTTGTGGATTTCTGTGTGTGGATGTCTGTGTATGGATGTCTGTTTGTGGATGTCTGGGTGTGGATGTGTGGATGTCTGTTTGTGGATGTGTGGATGTGTGGATGTCTGTTTGTGGATGTGTGGATGTCTGTTTGTGGATGTGTTGATGTCTGTTTGTGGATGTCTGTTTGTGGATGTGGATGTCTGGTTTTGTGGGATGTGTGTGATGTGTGTTTGTGGATGTGTGTTTGTGGATGTGTGTTTGTGGATGTCTGTGTGTGTGGATGTCTGTGGATGTCTGTGTGTGGATGTCTGTTTGTGGATTTCTGTGTGTGTGGATGTCTGTTTGTGGATGTCTTTGTTTGTGGATGTCTGTGTGTGGGATGTCTGTTTGTGGATGTCTGTGTGTGGATGTCTTTGTGTGGATGTCTGTGTGTGGATGTCTGTTTGTGGATGTCTGTTTGTGGATGTGTGGATGTCGGTTTGTGGATGTGTGGATGTCTGTTTGTGGATGTGTGGATGTGTGTTTGTGGATGTCTGTGGATGTCTGTGTGTGGATGTCTGTTTGTGGATGTGTGTTTGTGGATGTCTATTTGTGGATGTCTGTTTGTGGATGTGTGTTTGTGGATGTGTGGATGTGTGTTTGTGGATGTGTGGATGTCTGTTTGTGTATGTGTGGATGTCTGTTTGTGGATGTGTGGATGTGTGTTTGTAGATGTGTGTTTGTGGATGTCTGTGTGTGGATGTCTGTTTGTGGATGTCTGTTTGTGGATGTGTGGATGTCTGTTTTTGGATGTGTGGATGTCTGTGTATGTGTGGATGTCTGTTTGTGGATGTCTGTTTGTGTATTTGTGGATGTCTGTTTGTGGATGTGTGGATGTCTGTTTGTGGATGTCTGTATGTCTGTTTGTGGATGTGTGGATGTGGATGTCTATTTGTGGATGTGTGGATGTCTGTTTGTGGATTTGTGGATGTCTGTTTGTGGATGTGTGGATTTGTGGATGTCTGTTTGTGGATTTGTGGATGTCTGTGTGTCTGTGGATGTCTGTTTGTGGAAGTCTGTTTGTGGATGTCTGTTTGTGGATTTGTGGATGTCTGTGTGTGGGATGTCTGTTTGTGGATGTCTGTTTGTGGATGTGGATGTTCGGTGGGATGTGTGGATGTCTGTTTGTGCATGTGTGATGTCTGTTTGTGGATGTCTGTTTGTGTATGTGTGGATGTCTGTTTGTGTATGTGTGGATGTCTGTGGATGTCTGTTTGTGTATGTGTGGATGTCTGTGGATGTCTGTTTGTGGATGTGTGGATGTGTGTTTGTGGATGTGTGTTTGTGGATGTCTGTGTGTGGATGTCTGTGTGTGGATGTCTGTGTGGATGTCTGTTTGTGGATGTCTGTTTGTGGATGTCTGTTTGTGGATGTGTGGATGTCTGTTTGAGGATGACTGTTTGTGGATGTGTGGATGTCTGTTTGTGGATGTGTGGATGTCTGTTTGTGGATGTCTGTTTGTGGCTTTGTGGATGTCTGTTTGTGGATGTGTGGATGTGGATGTGTGGATGTCTGTTTGTGGATGTGTGGATGTCTGTTTGTGTATGTGTGGATGTCTGTTTGTGGATGTGTGGATGTCTGTTTGTGGATGTCTATTTGTGTATGTGTGGATGTCTGTTTGTGTATTTGTGGATGTCTGTTTGTGGATGTGTGGATGTCTGTTTGTGGATGTCTATTTGTGTATGTGTGGATGTCTGTGTATTTGTGGATGTCTGTTTGTGGATGTCTGTTTGTGGATGTCTGTATGTCTGTTTGTGGATGTTTGGATGTGGATGTCTGTTTGTGGATTTGTGGATGTCTGTTTGTGGATGTCTGTGGATGTCTGTTTGTGGATGTGGATGTGTGGATGTCTGTTTGTGGATGTGTGGATGTCTGTTTGTGTATGTGTGGATGTCTGTTTGTGGATGTCTATTTGTGTATGTGTGGATGCCTGTTTGTGGATGTGTGGATGTCTGTTTGTGGATGTCTATTTGTGTATGTGTGGATGTCTGTTTGTGTATTTGTGGATGTCTGTTTGTGGATGTGTGGATTTGTGTATGTGTGGATGTCTGTTTGTGTATTTGTGGATGTCTGTATGTCTGTTTGTGGATGTGTGGATGTGGATGTCTGTTTGTGGATGTGTGGATGTCTGTTTGTGGATTTGTGGATGTCTGTTTGTGGCTTTGTGGATGTCTGTTTGTGGATGTGTGGATGTGGATGTGTGGATGTCTGTTTGTGGATGTCTGTTTGTGGATGTGTGGATGTGTGGATGTGTGGATGTCTGTCTGTGGATGTCTGTTTGTCTCAGTGTGTGTAGGAGTGTATTTATGTCTGTTAGCGTTTGTACGTGTGTATGTGAGTGTATGTGCTTCTGTTAGTGTATGCATGTGTATGTTTGCAATTGCATGTATGTGCATACGTTATTGTAAGTTTCTGTCAAATAAGTGTCTCTGTCATTTAGTGTGTGTGTGACTATTAGTGTGTGTCTCTCCGTCAATGAATGAGTGTGTGTCAGTGAATGTGTGTGTCAAATCAGTGACGTCTGTGTGTTTGTCATTGAATGTGTGTGTTACTGTCAGTGTGTATCTGCCAGTGTGGGTGTCTGTCAGAGAGTGTGCTTAAAGGGACACTATAGGCACCCAGACTACTTCAGCTCCTTGAAGTGGTCTGGGTGCAGTGTCCCAGTCCCCTTAAACCTTCTCAGAAACTGCAATAATTACCTGAGGGGTAACTCCAAGTCTAGTGGCTGTCTATCAGACAGCCACTAGAGGGACTTTCGGGTGGTTAGGTGACCAAAAGTCACCTAACTGATGCTGGACGTCCTCACCCTGTGCATGAGGACATCCAGCATCTGCTAAATACCCATAGGATTTTAATCCCTTCAGTGTCGAGTGGGGGAGGGGAGGACATTTGAGGAGGGGGGCACTATACGGAATTATAGTGCCAGGAAAACAACTTTGTTTTCCTGGCACTATAGTATTTCTTTAAAAGGAGCAGGAAAAGGTGGAATCTAAAGAGGAAGGGGTGGGTTCTTAATCAGGAAGTGGTGCACATGAAGGAGTGGTAAATTTAGATTAGGGGGGTGCTCTATAGTCATGTCTAGGACAGCATAAAATTAAAATACACCACTGTGTGAGTGTGTGTGCACGCGTGTGTATGTATGTGTGTGTGTTTGTGGATGTCTGTTTGTGTATGTGTGGATGTCTGTTTGTGGATGTGTGGATGTGTGTTTGTAGATGTGTGTTTGTGGATGTCTGTGTGTGGATGTCTGTTTGTGGATGTCTGTTTGTGGATGTGTGGATGTCTGTTTTTTTTTTATACACACACACACACATACATACAAGTGTTTTGGGGAGAGTTCCCACACTTTTTTCCCCAGGACTTGACCCCTGATTTTGCTTCTGAATTCTTTTCTTAGATAGCAATTCTTTTTGATTAATTGACAATGCCTGGTTAAAAGTAGATTGGACTGTATCTTTATTATATCCTTTTTGTAAAAACCTTTCTTTGACTGTTTCAGCTTGTTGCTTAAAAACGGGAGTTTCTGTGCAGTTTCTCCTTAGTCTGAGCATTTGACTTTTTGGAATGCTCTCTAGCCAAACTTTATTATGACAACTTTTTGTGTCAATATAGTTGTTGACATGAACTTCTTTGAAATGAGTTTTAGTGTGAATTTTTTATCTTTAATGTAAATGTTCAAGTCTAAATATGTAATCTGTGTATCGCTTATTTCTGAAGTAAGAACTATCCCCTCCTGATTGGTATTTAAGAAGGAGATAAATTCCCTAGCTTCAGTGGGAGATCCTTTCCATATAAAGAGAAGGTCATCTATATATCTTGAGTAGGACACCAGGTTTTGTGTCCAGCCATGTATCTATCCTCCCATTCGGCCATATAGAGGTTGGCATAGCTAGGCGCAAACCTGGTGCCCATAGCAGTGCCTCTTTTTTGTAGGTAAAAACCATCTTTAAACCAAAAATAGTTATTGTTAAGAATTAGATCTATACCTTCAATTAGAAATTCTATTTGGTCCTGTGACATTGTGTTTTCTCTTTCTAAAATGGTTCTCACTGCTTTACAACCTTGATGGTGTTGGATGATAGTATATAAGGACTGAACATCACAAGTGATCAGAAAAAAGTATTTTTCCCATTGGATATTATTTAACTTGTTTAGTAGATCGATAGAGTCTTTAAGGTATGATTTTGTTTTAACGACATAAGGCTGTAATAAAATGTCTATATGTTCAGATAAATTGGAGAACAAAGATCCGATACCGGATACTATCGGTCTACCAGGGGGGTTGGTTACGTTTTTATGAATCTTAGGGAGGAAGTAGATAACGGGGATTCGAGGATGTTGGATATTAATATATAGAAACTCATTTTTATTAAGAATACCAGATCTTTTTCCTTCCTCTAAGAATGTTTGAAACTTTTGTTTCATCTCTAGTGTTGGGTTGTTGTGGAGTCTTGTATATGTATTGTCATCGTTTAATTGTTTATAGGCTTCAGTTTCATATTGTTCCTTTGATAAGATCACAAGACCCCCTCCCTTATCTGCAGGTTTGATTACAATAGAGTCGTCATTATATAGCTCTTCCAGTAATTTCCTCTCATGTTTGTTTAAATTAGGTTTGTTGACATATTTATTATTTTGTTCTAAGATTTTTAAATCTTTATGGATCTTACGTTCGAATATCTCTAATGCGCTGGATTTTAGATGGGCTGGGTAGAAGGTAGATTTCTTTTTTAGATTGCTTCTTATATAGTCTTTATCTGTATTGATATCTGTAATAGTGTGTGTGCTTTCTTGTATATTCTGCGTAGCTGATGTTTTTGAAGCAAAGAATCTTTTGAGGGTGGCATTTCTAACAAATTTGTTTATATCGATATAAGTTAGAAAAGAGTTATATGTTCTAGTAGGGGCAAATTTTAGGCCCCTTTTTAATATATTTATTTGGGATTTATCTAGGACTTTGTTTGAAAGATTAAATATACCGGTAGGGGAGGCGTCATTCTTTGTTTTTAGAATCTTCCTTTTTTGTTCTCTTCTCCCTGCTCTTCTACCTCTAGGATTCTTTTTCTGCTCTTTATGGGTGTTATATTCAGACAGTTGGTGTTCCTGTCTTGATTGAATGGAATCTCTAAAAAAGAGGTTTCGTCAAATTGTTCACAGAATGATAGGGCTTGATATTTATTTTTGGTGATTATTTCATTTGGTGAGTTGTGTTTCCGATTTATATATTTGTTGTGTCTGTTGTGATTTACCTTTTCCCAAGGATTGTCTTTATCCCTAGATTTGTGTACTGGAGAACTAGGTATATGTGTATATTTGTGTGTTTTTGGTCTAACTACCATAGGTGATTCATTCGGATTGTGAAGTCTCTCTTTTCTTTGATTTCTCATATTATCGGTTCTGTATATTGTTTATTTAGTTTTGAAATCAGTAGGTTTGTAATATGTCTGTCTAGGTTTATTATAAAAGTCTCCATTAATAGTGTTGTGAGTCTTAGTGTCATTTGTGGTAATAAATCTATCTGTGAATTTACGTGGTGATTTTTTCCGATAATGTGAGTATTCAGATCTCTCATTGTCATCTCTGTATTGAAGATGTTTAGGTCTGAAATTCTTTTTATTTTCTGTGTTTTGATTGTATGAGTAATTTGGATTTCTCCATTTTTGCTGTCTCGGTGCTCTTTTTGTGTTATAGTGCGTATTTGATTATTTGCATAATCGTATTTGTCTCTGTTGTATTTGTTTTTTTTTATTTTTCTGATATCTGTTTCTGTTTTTTCCACTGTCTTTTTGATATTCTGTGTTTGGTTAAAATATTCTTCTGTATCTGCAAATGGGATTAATTGGTCCCTTAGACTATTAATTTTTTTGTCTAAATTAAGCAATCTTTCGCTCTTAACCTTAATCAGACTTTTCGTTAAGGCCGAATGTGCAAAACTCTAAGTGGTTAAACCACTCTTCCATAAAGATTTTATTATCTGTATCTGATGTCGGCATTTTGAAAAGCCTAAGACCTCTCGGGGTAATTTTGTCTTCGACATATTTACTGAGGGTCGCAATTTCCCATCTTAGCTTCATTTCTTTAATCAAGGAAAACTCTAGTTATGTGGTGTGGTAGGCAACCTTTGGATAATTATATCTTGGTCTACTGTTTTACCCCAGGTTGCCCACCCCTCACAACACCAATATGGACAGAAATTAAAATCTCTATTTGGGCAATCAGGATCAGTAGATCTTTTACTGGGACATAAATATTTGTCATTGAACCCATAAGTTCGTTCCCACTTTAAATTACCACATACATTTCAAGGTTTTCCACTACCCGAGATCGCCTTACATGCATCAAATAGTAGAATACCTGTAGAATGTATGGTATTTATCACCGTCCTATTTATCAAGGTCCCCTGAGAGTTACTATTCCGAATTACCAACCAAATTGTACGGGGTTGGAATTGGGGATCAAAACATTTAGACTCTCCCTCTACTGGGTGACACACACTGTAATCAATATCCAAATATCTACATTTAGATACAGACCGCTTACATTCATACTGTGAGTGCCAAATAAGAGTTTGGGATATTTGATTACCTGTCTTAGTAGTCTTAATGCAACTATCAAAATTCTGTATGTCTATACTCTTACCTTCCTGAAAATTTATAATAATACATAAATACACAATAAAATGTATTATTCCTGGTATCCTCATTCTTATTTCTTCGACCATGCGCCGGCACCTCAGCTTCCCAACTGTGAGGGCTGCAAGGATTGGCGTTCTTCTGATCCTCACTTTCCTTCACAGAGATCTCTTCGAGACTGTAACGGACCGTTTTGCCCAAAAGAGGTTAAAAACCGTTTAGGCGATATTCCCCTTTTTCAGCTGCACCGACAGCTACTGCAAGCACCAATCTCCTGAACTGCAAACCCACGAATTCACCAACTCCCGAACTGCAACCAAGGGAATACTCAAAACTCCCGAACTGCATACCAAGGGAATACTCGAAACTCCCGAACTGGAGACACACAAATAGCTGCTAGCAGACGAACAGGAAAAGCCCACAGGCGGCTTACACTCCTGGCAATCAGTTTCTAACAGCATACAGTAAATCATCCCCCAATAATGAGAAGACACTTCACTTTGAGGGTTAAGCAGGAACTGATTTACTGGGGCTAACTGCCCGGCTTTTATGCAGGTCTCCCACCTGGTGGACACTCCCCCAGGGGACCAAATGGGAGACTGGGACACAGAGGGTAAAAGGACCAATCACATTTCAACCATTCCACAATGCATCATAATCCCTCCTCTCTGCCCTGGAGATAATTGGGAAGTAATTCAATTATCTCCAAAGACAGAGGCAAAACTCCATTAACCACATGGCAGAAAACAAACAGTAAAAGACATAAAATTACCTACAGTTACATTCAGTACATAAAACATATACGTTCTACATATCCCCAGATAGCTCAGGTCTGAGCGCACATTATTAAGCGAATGGCGCTCAGACCACACGAATACAGTTTAATCGCCATGGAGCCAAAGTCTTTACACAGTCAGTTTCATGCGAATGGGCTCCATGGGATTCCTATCTGGGGCACAACACACTCAAACAAAACTACCGAACACCAGGCCGTTCGTGCACTTTCACCGAACAAGAAGGGAGGTCGGCGGCTTCAGCGGTGTTCGCGCAAAACTGTGTCCGATTTCAGTTCCATGAATTAAGCGTCGAACACCGCTGTGCATTCGCATGTTTAGAATGGCCGCGACCTCGTGTTCATGATACGAATGGCGGCCACCCAGCATTCGTCAATTAAGCTACGGTTAACCGCAGCTTCAGGGAGGTTAATTGCCGGCACACTCCAGCTCCCAGGTGGTCTATTCATTTGTGCGGTTGTTCGGTAGATTGAATCTACCGAACACCCGGCAGAAAAGCACAAATAAGTCTTTTCTGCAGGGAAAAAAGATGTCTTTTAACATGGGGCCATAGTCCAAAGGCAGCAGGTGAGCAACCAGGCTTCTCCAGTGTATAGTGGCGAGGTTGGTTTCACCACATTGTACGTCTGCAATGTCCCCATGTCCATCTGTAATTCCAGTCTCCCATTTTGTCCCCTAGGGGAGTGTCCACCAAGTGGGAGACCTGCATAAATACGGGCAGGTAGCCCACAGTAAAGCCAGATCCTGTTTGACCCTCAATGCGGAGCTTCTGTCTCGTTATTGGGGGGATTTCTTCTTTGCGCTTAGAGACTGCTTATTGGAACCGAAAGCCGCTTGGTGGATATCGTTGTTCGGCGGCTAGCAGCAGTTCGTGGATTTCCGTTCGGGAGTTTGGAGCCTTGCACGGATTCCGGTCGGGAGATTGCCGCTTCCCCTGATGTTGATTCGTATACTGCAGTCTATGCGAATAGAGTTAATAGTATTGCGAAAGGGGAAGGCTAACTAAATGGCGGTTTCTCTAAAAGACGCCAGGGGTGTTTTAACACCTAGTATATCCAATACTCATTCGGTAGTTTCCTTCCGAACGGCCAGAGCATCAATAGGTATTGTAACGAAATCCCCTATTTACAGACTATACGAACAAGCCTGTTCGGTTATTTGGAGAATTACAGAGGGATTTTGTGGAAATAACAATAAATGCGAATGAACTACCGAACCACCGACCTCCCACTGAGGTCGTGTGGCGCCTATTGAACACCCTGACTGTTGCGGTTAACCACAGACTAATTGGGGAATAGCTGGTGGTCCACGTTCGTCTACCGAACACGTGGCAATCGCCATTTTGTTTTGTCGAACGCACAGCGGTAAATGGCACGGATTCCCTGGAACTGATTTCGGCTACCTATTTTGTCGAACACCGCTGTTACCTTCTCTCATCCTCGTTCATACGGTGGAAAACACACGAATGAAGGGGATAATACTTCATTCGTGCGCTGAAAGTATGCGAACGTAACCGACACCAGATAGTTAGAATATGGAACTTGCAGTCTGCTACAAACACACGAACGGCCGGTGAAAGGCAAACTTCAGTCGACGATTCTGAGACCTGTGTTCGTGGGATCTGAGCGCTATTCGCCTAGAATATGCCCTCAGATCCAAGCTATCTGGGGATATGTGGAATTTAAAGTTTATGTTGTGTAAAAAGAAAGTTATGTATTTTTATTCTGTTTTTACTAACTAAGAAAAGCCATGTTTCTTTCTTCCTGGAGATAATTAAGGCTCTCTTTGCTACCTTAATTTAATTATCTCCAGGATGGAAAAGAGGGAGTGATTTAGGTAAAAGGGGAGTGCTTATGCTATAGCCACTGTGATTGGCTACTGTGTTACTTTTGTCCCAGTCTTCCATCTGGTCCCCTAGGGGAGTGTCCACCAGGTGGAAGACCTTCATAAATACCGGGCGGGTAGCCCACAGTAAATCAGATCGTTTTACCCCTTCATGAAGTCTCGACTCATGTTTGGGGGATTTGGAGTTATAATCACTTCGTTTCAGTTGGAGTTCGGGAGAAGCTGCAAGGATCATCGCTGCACGAATGCAAGGATCCTTTACAGGTATACCTCTCCATTCGGCAGATAAAATAAACGATTCCCATACGAATACAATAGCTTTACCAGACGATTTCCTTAGTAAAGCATACGAATACCCAAACACCAGCCGGAGTCTAGAAGAAGGGTGCCACACCAGCCGGAGTCTAGAAGCTTTATTGTGCCACACTGGCTTTTATGCAAGTCCCCGTGTAAGGGGACATCCCACAGCCAATCATAATAAGATAAATAGTTATACACTCCCATTGCAAACATATAATTCCCTCCCCTGAACCTGGAGATAATCAAGGCAGATAACATAATAACTTCATTATCTACAGGCATAAAAAGTACTGTTTTACCCAACTTTTAGAACACCCCTAAAAACGTGGGGTATCCCCTTAAAAGTCATATCCCCTGATAGCCCTGATCTGGGTGACCAACATATCCAAAAATCCCCCAGATCAGTTCAGGAGTTTTCAAATTCCATGGAGGTCTTAGGTGACTGGCTTCACACAAGGTTGCTGCCCAAAACAGTTCTATGAGTTTGGGTAGTTTTGCCGGTCAATTTTGTGAAATTGAAATAAACTAATAATCCCATGAACGGTTTCCCCTGGCTCCTAGCAGCGATTGTTCCCCTCATACGAATGCGCAAAAGTACCGAACAGCACTCTCCTAGCTGTTCGGGAAACAAAGATCCAGCGTTCGTATGTTGGGACCGGTGTTCGGGAAGTCAAGTGTCCGATTTTAGTTCCAGACACTCGACGACCAAGTCCTGCTGCCTTTGTTCACACAAACAAGATGGCCGCCATTTTCTCAGCCACGTGGCGTTCGGCAATACAAATGGCGGCCGCACAGGTAGAGGGTTTAATTGAAGCATGCTTTTGAAGTTAACGAGCCAGAGGGGTGGCCTCTGTTCGGTAGTTACATCTACCGAATGAAAAGGGGAGAAATAACGAACACAAAGAGGGATTTTTTCACAGTAGGTATTTCGCTGTCTGTGTATTAGGAGGGGATGAGGGGTAGGTATCTTGCTGTCTGTGTACTAGGAGGGGATGAGAGGTAGGTATCTTGCTGTCTGTGTATTATAAGGGGATGAGGGGTAGGTATTTTGCTGTCTGTGTATTATAAGGGGATGAGGGGTAGGTTTTTTGCTGTCTGTGTATTATGAGGGGTAGGTATCTTGCTGTCTGTGTATTATAAGGGGATGAGGGGTAGGTATTTTGCTGTCTGTGTATTATGAGGGGATTAGGGGTAGGTATCTTGCTGTCTGTGTATTAGGAGGGGATGAGGGGTAGGTATTTTGCTGTCTGTGTATTATGAGGGGATGAGGGGTAGGTATCTTGCTGTCTGTGTATTAGGAGGGGATGAGGGGTAGGTATCTTGCTGTCTGTGTATTAGGAGGGGATGAGAGGTAGGTATCTTGCTGTCTGTGTATTAGGGGGGGATGAGAGGTAGGTATCTTGCTGTCTGTGTATTATGAGGGGTAGGTATCTTGCTGTCTGTGTATTAGGAGGGGTAGGTAGGTATCTTGCTGTCTGTGTATTATAAGGGGATGAGGGGTAGGTATTTTGCTGTCTGTGTATTAGGAGGGGTAGGTATCTTGCTGTCTGTGTATTATGAGGGGATGAGGGGTAGGTATCTTGCTGTCTGTGTATTAGGAGGGGATGAGAGGTAGGTATCCTGCTGTCTGTGTATTAGGGGGGGATGAGAGGTAGGTATCTTGCTGTCTGTGTATTAGGGGGGGATGAGAGGTAGGTATCTTGCTGTCTGTGTATTATGAGGGGTAGGTATCTTGCTGTCTGTGTATTATAATGGGATGAGGGGTAGGTATTTTGCTGTCTGTGTATTAGGAGGGGTAGGTATCTTGCTGTCTGTGTATTATAAGGGGATGAGGGGTAGGTATTTTGCTGTCTGTGTATTAGGAGGGGTAGGTATCTTGCTGTCTGTGTATTATGAGGGGATGAGGGGTAGGTATCTTGCTGTCTGTGTATTAGGAGGGGATAAGGGGTAGGTATCTTGCTGTCTGTGTATTAGGAGGGGATGAGAGGTAGGTATCTTGCTGTCTGTGTATTGGGGGGGATGAGAGGTAGGTATCTTGCTGTCTGTGTATTATGAGGGGTAGGTATCTTGCTGTCTGTGTATTATAAGGGGATGAGGGGTAGGTATTTTGCTGTCTGTGTATTAGGAGGGGTAGGTATCTTGCTGTCTGTGTATTAGGAGGGGATGAGGGGTAGGTATCTTGCTGTCTGTGTATTATGAGGGGGTTCCTTTGTGAGATATATACTGAATTGTCCCCCTTTTTTTCGCAGATTTCACACTACCCAGCACTATACAGAGAGATGAAGACTTTCTGACCTTGTAAAAGCTCGGTACGAAAACAACCTGGAGACGGACAATACGATAAGTTGGGGTAAAGGGATATCAGCACAACAACACCAAAGGAAACCTGATCACTGTGGAAACAGGGACCTAGGTGGCTATATGTTATGTACAAGGAAAGGATCTGAGATCCACACTCCTCTCTGTTTTCTTGACTCGGGGATCCCTATAAAGGCCACTCTCGTCACACAAGATTCACCTGCTCTGAATTAATATGGTTCCTTAGGTTCATTACAATCTTCCCTTTAATTCCACCATATATTCCTCTGGAGACCATTTGATTTTCTTTTTAAAATTCCATTCCTGAACCATTTTTGTCCATCTTTCGTGGCTGGTTCGGGTGTTCATGGTCAAATTCTGTGTGAAACCATTGAACTTGTGGCTCCTTAAGACATAGCCATTTAATCATGGCTGCAGGAGTAGCGACTTGGCTCCCATTTGCCCGAGCAGCAGCAGTAGGATGGCTACCTCTTGCAAAGAGGCCGATGCCCAAACCTCCGAGTGACAAGAGGAAGAGAAACGATGAAATTCTGGTGGTGAATGTCAGTGGTCGGAAGTTCCAGACATGGAAAAACACATTAGATCGGTATCCAGACACATTGCTTGGTAGCACAGAGAAAGACTTCTTCTTCAACCAAGAAACACAAGAATTCTTTTTTGACCGAGATCCGGAAATGTTTAGGCACATTCTCAATTTCTACAGAACGGGCAAACTGCATTATCCTCGTCATGAGTGCATCCAAGCCTTTGATGAGGAACTCTCATTCTATGGTATTATCCCAGAGATCATTGGAGACTGCTGTCTCGAAGAGTACCGAGATCGAAAGAAGGAGAACCTTGAAAGGCTGGCCGAGGACACAGAAGCTGAAACTGCCTTAGATGCTCCATTACCTCCAGGGAGTACTTTCCGGCAGAGACTGTGGAGAGCCTTTGAAAACCCTCACACCAGCACAATGGCCCTCGTCTTTTATTATGTCACAGGTTTCTTTATAGCAGTGTCTGTTATTGCTAATGTAGTGGAGACTGTACCCTGCCGGCCAGCAGCAGGGCGCCTAAAGGAGGTGTCGTGTGGAGAGAAGTACACTTTGGCCTTTGTTTGTATGGACACAGCATGCGTCCTCATCTTTACATTTGAGTACCTCATGAGGCTGTTTGCCGCCCCAAGTCGCTGTAAGTTTATGCGCAGTGTCATGAGCATCATAGATGTGGTGGCTATAATGCCTTTCTATATTGGCCTTGTCATGCCAGAGAATGAGAATGTGAGTGGTGCCTTTGTCACGCTGCGCGTCTTTCGCGTTTTCCGCATCTTCAAGTTTTCCCGCCACTCACAGGGCTTGCGGATTCTCGGATACACCCTGAAAAGCTGTGCATCGGAGCTCGGCTTTCTCCTTTTCTCACTCACCATGGCCATCATCATATTTGCCACAGTCATGTTCTACGCAGAGAAAGGGACAAGCAAGACTAAATTTACCAGCATCCCGGCGTCCTTCTGGTACACCATCGTAACCATGACAACCCTGGGGTAGGTGCAAACTGCATGGTAAGTTAAACATTAAAAGGCTAATGTTATATGTAGCCCCCCCCAGCATTTACTGGTTGTGTGAGGAAAGCCACAACAACCGCCATCTGATGAGGCTTTTTTAAAAATTTATTTATTTTATGTATTTTGTATTTTTGCAGGGCATAGGAACATTACATACAGGCTTGAGGTGCCACAACAGCATTCCTCATGCTCATCATCATGTATTACAACTGGGGTACTTGTAGAGTCATGCACAATTTTTTAGAGAAAGAATAACACGGTAGCTATGTCAATTTATGCTAGACAGGGTAGTTAACGTTAAAACAGTAACTTTGCTAGAACAGAGGTTTGTGTGCCACTGGCTGGTGCCTTGGGAGGCGTTTTGTATTATCAAGCTTACAGAACGGTGTTGGAAGACGCTATCGCATAGTGCGCTCAGTTTCAGGAGTATTTTCTGGGATACGTGGTAGGTTGTGCAGTGCTTTGCAATCCACCTAGTTAGGGTGTGTGGGGTGTAGCGCAAAAGGGAGACAGTATGACAAACCTGCAGGAGGGTGCTCTAGTATTGACTGCAATTGGTCCTCAAGCACTGATTCTCTTAAATAACATGCTTTGCTAACATAGGAGGCCTCTCTCAGCGATGCATAGGATAGGGAAGCTAGCTAAGATGGGTAAAAGAAATGGAAGCAGGCTAATAAATACTAGATGAACTACTACTAAACTACAGATAGGTACTTTACAGTCCCGGAGTGTAAACTATGTTGGTGCCACTTGGTTAGAGTCACTCAGCCTATGCTGGCTGTCGGTTTGGTCAGGGTATAGGTGCTAGGAGGGTCCCAGGATTCTGCAGAGAGAGTGCATTGGCTGACAGACCTCCCGCCCCAGGCCAGCATCTTTGATCCACGGACTCGGGGGCTCAGAGTCCAAGTCCTGCCCCATGTTGGAGAGACAGGAGGCTCTGGTGTTGTGTCTCCACTGGTGGCGGGACAGTTTCTGCCTGTGTGGTTGATGCGTCAGGGTCTTGCCATTAATAGCCTTCGGGGGGCCTGAATCAGGGTTTCCTCGTGTTTGGGACATTAGAGCACCCGGAGGTGTCTCACCACCTCCACTCCAAATTCCAGTCCCAGACTCCAGTGCAGGCTGATGTGGTGAAGCATTCACCTGCCGTGCTTCCAGGTTGGCCCAGAAGTGATCGGAAATTTTGTCTAGTCACTGTAGGGATCTGTTGATGAAGTCCGGTTGCGGCCTTACTTGCCGCGTGCATGGTGCCTTTCTGACTCCTGAGTCCGCCACCATCTTGAGTGAGTAAGTCGCAGAGTGTGCAGAGGCAGCCATTGTGTAGCAGGTCAGCCATTGTGGACCGGGATATCCCCCACAGGTCCAAAGAGGGGGGGGGGGGAGTGCGGAGCTGTGGCATGTCCAGCGGACGCTCAGTGCCGCACGGTACAGGCAAGCGGCCGTCTCGCCTGTCTGACGGGCACACTAGGCCTCACTCGCTCCACCGGGATATGCAGAGGGAGACGCTTCCAGAGATGCTCTAACGTGCTCCGGTAGGCTTCAGACACAGGTAAGTCTCGTATTAAGGGCCTCAGGGCGAACTGGAACTCACTTTGTGGGTTCAGGATATAGCTTGAAGTCCAAGAAAATGCTGCCAGTTGCCATGCTGCTCAGGCCCCGACACCCTGATGAGGCTTTTATGTTTATATTGGAGGCCACACAGTCAAGAGACCAATAGAGTACCTTCTAAGTGCTCTGCTATGTCCATAATCCGAGTATAAAGAACAATAACATTACATAGGAGCACACAAAAACTCACAAATGTATCTTTATTATTATTAACCAACAAAAGGTTATATAACAGGAGTATCGAAAATCCAGAATAGAATTGATAGAATGAAATCACTTATAAAGACAAACATTTCGCAATAAACACCGTACCTCCCAAGTGTCAATATTTAACAGGCACAGTCCCTATTTATAATACTCCCAGTAATGTATCTAAGTGTATCACAGAGCTTCGCAGCAATAATACTCCCAGTAATGTGTCTGAGTGTATAACAGAGCTCCACAGTAATAATACTCCCAGTAATGTGTCTTGAGTGTATAACAGAGCTCCACAGCAATAATACTCCCAGTAATGTGTCTGAGTGTATAACAGAGCTCCACAGCAATAATACTCCCAGTAATGTGTCTGAGTGTATAACAGAGCTCCACAGCAATAATACTCCCAGTAATGTGTCTGAGTGTATAACAGAGCTCCACAGCAATAATACTCCCAGTAATGTGTCTGAGTGTATAACAGAGCTCCACAGTAATAATACTCCCAGTAATGTGTCTGAGTGTATAACAGAGCCCCACAGCAGTAATACGCCCAGTAATGTGTCAGTGTATAACAGAGCTCCACAGCAATAATACTCCCAGTAATGTGTCTGACTGTATAAAAGAGCTCCACCACAATAATACTCCCAGTAATGTGTCTGAGTGTATAACAGAGCTCCACAGTAATAATACTCCCAGTAATGTGTCTGAGTGTATAACAGAGCCCCACAGCAATAATACGCCCAGTAATGTGTCAGTGTATAACAGAGCTCCACAGCAATAATACGCCCAGTAATGTGTCTGAGTGTATAACAGAGCTCCACAGCAATAATACTCCCAGTAATGGGACTGAGTGTATAACAGAGCCCCACAGCAATAATACTCCCAGTAATCTGTCTGAGTGTATAACAGAGCTCCACAACAATAATACTCCCAATAATGTGTCTGAGCGTATAACAGAGCTCCACAGCAATAATACTCCCAGTAATGTCTCTTAAAGAGCCTCTCCAGTTCCAGGAAAACACTAGTTTTCCTGGCACTGCAGGGCCCTGTAGTGCCCCTCGCCCTCCCACCCCCCATCCCAAGTTGCTGAAGGGGTTAAAACCCCTGGTCACACACACACTAAGAACAGCCACACCCCAACTCACACTGAAAACAGCCCCACCCCTGGCCATCCTCCTCACTCACACTCCGTACAGTCATACTACTGGCCACACCCTCACACACCCTCAAAAAACATCCCTGGCCTTGACCACACCCGTCTTGGTCCATGTGAAATGTTGGAGTGTATGAAACAGGCTAAAAAACCCTAACACTGGAATATGTACATAACTAATAAATGAAACAGCAGCTAGCAGGGATATATACAAAAATAAAAGAACCTCCAACCTTTCTCAAGGCTTTCTCCCATGTCTAATATATTATAATATTTAATGAGGATTTTAGCAGGCACCCTCCCTGTATAGAGCTCATCAAGGCAACCCCTTAAAGGGACGCTCCGGACCCATAAAGCATTACCGATGGCTGAAGTGCTTTATATGTGAAGATTATGTCCTCTTTCTTTCAGATTTCAGTAGAAATTGTTACTTTTATAAATTAACCTGGTTCCAATCCCCAGCTATCTATCAGTCAAGCAGTTCTGTTACTTCCTGGTTTGTTTACCTCAGTGGAGCATCTGCCTGGCAAAGACTTCTTACTGAGCTGCATTGGAAAGTCTGTGATTGGACAGTCACAGAAAGTCTGGGCGGAGTTAGAAGGGGATGGCTTAAAAAGGCTGCAGACAAAGAAATTTGTAGGTTTTACAAGCTGGTTTTAGATATAACTCCAATGATAAAATGAATAATTGAATCCATGTTATGTTTAATTGGGGAATATCTAATATAGAAAGTTTTCTCCATACTTACCGTAATTTTCTTTTCCTGGCTATAATTC